ATCAGGACTGTCCTCTATATCACGCTGAATATGAAATTAAATTATTCATGCTTTTGAATGTAACAGCCCACCAAGCCCCTAGTCGTACACAAGTTTAATTCTGCCGTGAAGGACATTTGAATTTAGGATTAATTAGCGAGACTTTGCCAGCTCTGCAAAGAGACAGTGCACATTGTAAAAGTCCCACAGAGAGCTGGTGCCACGGCCCTGACTTCTCACCTTGAGAAGCCCCAACGAGCAGCACAAGATCTGCTGAACAGTGGATAAATACAGCTCACATGACAAACCTGTGTCCTCCCTTTGTCTTTGTCCTTTTCAACAACAACTCTATTGTGGATCCACTCTTTCTTTAGACCCAGACAAATTGATGTCTGGGTCTAAAGAAAGTCCCTTGACTCTTTTCTATTAAACAGTGGATGTACAATTCATTCTCATACTTAAATGAATAGAGCTTCAACTTCTTCTACTGCTGGTCTCATCTGTAAAGTTTTAAGTGTCTTATTAAAATGTAAACTTAATCTGCCCTTGTTTCAGTCTCAGTAATAATAAACGCCCTAGTTTGCATGCATGTTTGTGTACGTGCACTCTGATGTGCACGGTGTCATGGGAAATGCAAATAATTCAAATGGAACAGCTCGTACTAATGAAGCGATGTGAGGACGCGACTCGTCCCATCCATGCACATCAACACAAACAAATACGGGCTATTTGTCATGAGTGGGTTTTGCGGGTTCACACTGTGAAATTGTCAATCAAAGTTACGGCCTTTTGTCACTCTCCGCAGAAAATGTACAAATTCTTGGAACAACTGAGCAAAGTGCTGTTCTCTGTGAACGCTGTTGATATTGAATTACTATTAATGAGGAAACACACAGAAGAGCCTGTTGTTAGGTAAGAGGTTAGACATGCTCTAATCCCACAATAGGAGCCATGGGAGGCAACGCCCCTAAAGCAGCTCTGACTATATTTAACTTGGGATTAAAAATCAGGTAATGATGAGGTTTGTTTCCTGAACGAAACTGCTCCTCAGCTTTCAGAACAATTATGTCAGAGGTTCTTTGGTGGGAGACTTTCTGTTCAAATTTCAAAATAAGAGCCTGCAGAAAACTCCAAAGAAACACTGATTAGATACAACAAAATACCCAGTAGTACATCTTGTCTGCACTGTGCTTTGCTCACTGAAATGGTATGTGTGTGCTATCATGGTGACTTAGCATTACTGCAAACGCAACATGACGTCCCAGCATGTGGTGTATTTCATAATCCACCATGGGAGGCGAGTGAGAGATTTCGACTCCTCTATTTTACTTTGTTATTCATTTGTATTCATTTACATTTTGCTTTCCAACCCTCCAGGGTAGAACTGGGCTCGTTGTTTTACTGCAGAAAAGTGGATGACATAAGCATCATTTTTTTTCCTGGCGATTCACCAAGTTGCATTAATTCTGGAGAGCGGCCAAAGTGGTGACGGTGATATATTTCGCTGCTGTGTTTGCCATATCCGTGGCAACCGCAGCTCGCGGGAAAAGCATGCTATGGCCTCAGAATGTGTGTTAGGGAAAGAAATACCCTTCATGGACAAAGATAAGACACATAAATTACACTTTCCCATGGCAACATCATCAAAAATGGGACTATCCCACCACTATCACCACATTAAAGATATTAAAAGCTATTTTACGTGACACCTGAAGGTCTCATTGCTGCATGTTGCTTATCTAACGGTTGTGTTAGCAGTTGTGACTGACTATTAACCAAACAAGAGAGTTTAACATGTATTGACCAGTCAGGAATACAGATGAGTCCCCTGAGGTGAAAGTCAAAGGCTGGAATACTGTGAGACAACAAAGCTCTAATTGGCCTCGAGGGCTTTTTCCAAGTAAAGAGGGACATGATCTTGAATGTTCATTTGTCCAAACAGGCTAACTACTGCCCTGGCTGTGTGCATCCTTCCAAACAGTGGATTTTTGTGTACTTAACCTCTCTGCACTTGATGAAAATGAGCATGTTGCTTAAAAGTCACTTTCCTTATTGATTTGCACCAAAAGATCAGAGATTCATTCGACTCGGGCTCCTATAATTCTGCCAAACTTAAATACTCACACACTGAAACTGGCATGATCACCACAGACATGTACGTATGCATGCAGGCATCCGCCCTCTCACACACCCTGTTGACATTTGACGGACTGAAAATTTTCTCGACACGGACATACTTCAACCCGTTGCGTCATTTCACCCCATTGCACAATTGGAATTTGGCCCCCTGTCACCTTTAACATCACCTCACTGGCAACCCAACACCACCACCCCTGCCACCCCTGGGATGTTTTATTCCCACTCGTATTTTTAGATATTCCATAGAGCTTTGCACTTTCCTGTGAAAATAACCACCTGCTGCACACATCCATCAGGCCGAGCAAGTCCCTCGTGTCATCGGATGAGAAAGTCGTGAGCTGAAACATTAACACTCTGCGGATTAGCTGTGCTTTGCGGGGATCGCTTTATCACAATACTGCACTGTTAATCCCAGATTTCCAAAATGTCTGGTGAAAATTTTTGAATATACCTACAATCTGTTGGGGGGAAAAAGTGTCTTTAATGCTAAAATCTTACTGTATGACTCCACTCAAAGTGCAGCTCACTGCCCTTGCAGATTTTAAGTGTGTTCTCTCATTTGACCCATGCATACTTAAAGAAATCCTCCTGGGATATTGCCCGGTCATGTGGCACAACCTTTAAGCGGTTGTCTGTGTCAGCAGTGTGCGGCAAACTCACTGTTCGCTGCTGTGTGTGCAGATGGAAACCCGAGGGACCCGAAGCTTTAAAACATGACAAGTGAATGCAACAACAGCAAGAGTCCATCGTTTAACGCTGATAAAGACAGTGAAGACCAGCTGCTTGGTTATGGCTCCGGCTCAGGGTGAAAAACAAAAAATGAAATTTAATCAAATCTGACGTCTGTCTTGCTCCTTGCACACTTTAAAAATTGGCATGTTCCTATCTTATCAGGGCCTTTCTTTCTTCCTCTTTCTAAAAACACTTCACTGTATTTGAGTAGATTTTCCTACACTCTCTCTGGTGCTCTTATCCAGAGGGATTTGAGCATGAGCAGTACACGAGACATTAACCAACAGACCACCCTGTATCGTCCAGAGTAAGCCCTGCACCTCACAGCCTATGGTCCAGTGTCCGAGGACGAGTGTGCCATCCCATGCCAAGGCAAACACGCCTGAGGGGAAACCAGTTGCAGTTACAGACTAATAATTGAATTGTCTGGCTCCCCGACCCTCAGCCCACGCCACACTCCCTGCCAATAATATTTCCGTTGCTGCATTTTGATAATGGCCACAATCAAAGTTCAGAGAGAGTTCATGTCTGCCCCTGATAAACAGTGCTCAATATTTACAATAGTGCTTGGCAGAGCGACAAGAGCCCGGTTGGATGCTGGGTCAAATGGGCGGGTGGTGCGGTGAACACACCGTTTTCCCCGATGAGGCTGGGCGAGAGGAATTCAATAGGACTGAGAAAGGGAGTGGCACCGGGGGCTGCGCATTCCAAAGGGTCTCTCCGACAGAGGCGAGGAATGCTGATGCTGGACCCGCTCACATGGTTGTAGGAAATCTGAGAGGCATTTCCTAATTCACTCTTGAAGACAGAAAGGACTTACACGAAATTAAACACATCCCCACAACCTTCAGTTAAAGAAACACACACTTCTAAACAATAAGGATTTTATCAAAAGAGCCATGCTGCCGATATTAGAAGTAATCTTGTCACTTTCCACTGAATTTGCTTAATATCTGACAGCACAGCACAATGTAGTGACAGGGAATCACTTCACCAAGCATTCGGCAACAAATTCCAGATCCATCTTTTAAGATCAATTTCTTGATTTAGTCTTTGACTGTAACCGCGATTACATTACATTTTAAAAACAACTCTACTGAACTAGTCTTAATTCTGAAAATTTCTAAATCAAACTGTAAAAATTGTCATAAGAACAAGAACAGATTTGCCTGCTGAAAGAAAATGTGCACTGGCATCTCAAACACAAAAACAATAAAGAATCATATTTGTATGAAATTGCTGAAACTTATCCAGAATGCACAGAATCCGACACCAAAAGCACAAAAATTGTCATTTGGTAGAAGACCAATATTTTATTTGGCAGTGATGTCAAAGCTCAATCATACTGTATGCTACACATGAACATAATTAATATTGTTAATAACATTCAATACATTGGCACTGACAACAAAAGCTAGCACGTTAGGATGATGGCACAAACCACAACATGCAAAAATACTGATTTGTGTTTAATCAGGAGATAACAGATTATTACTCTATTATAAATTACAAATGAGAGAAAGCTAAAGACTCAGAGTAGCTCTTACTTTAATTAGTCCTGTGTGTTTGCTTTAGCCGGTTGCTGGTGCTGTGGTATAATAAACACAGAGACAGACAAGGAGTGGGCACAGCCAGCTCATCGAGCCGCTCTCCCATCAATCCCACTCCTGCGACTGGGCATCGCCGAAAGGTGAGAGACACATCACTCAAGCCGCTCGTGTCAGTGAGGTAGATTTGATTTGTCAGACAGTGTAACCTTGAGGCGGGTTACAGTGGCTCGCATGTATCTTTGGCCTCTCGTGCGATACGGTAAGTGATGGGTTTGCATACGACTATGGCACACAGGAGAGTGCCATCATTCACTCCAATGAGCCTCCGGTGGAGCTCAGACCCTCTCACTGAGAAATGATTACCTTGTGTGTGTGTGTGTGTGTGTGTGTGTGTGTGTAACGTGCTGTGTGTGTGTGTGTGTGTGTGTGTGTGTGTGTGTGTGTGTGTGTGTGTGTGTGTGTGTTCAAAGGGTCCAANTTGTCTGTGGATGCTACGTCAGAATGCAAAAAGAGAAGCGTCTTGAAAGTGTGTATTGATTTAATCAGAAATTTTGTTGGTAGGGAAATGAAGCATGAAAAATGAAATGCTGAGAAGAATAATGAAGGACTTGTTGGATCACACACCATTTTATTGTGTAAAACTTGTGTCTGCAAGATAAAATACTCTTATGCACATTAATATACAACAAATTCCATTTATTACAGTAGTGTCTCTACGTACTGTACATTAACCCATGATTTATGCATCCCAGGAAAATGAGGGGATGCTGCACACGATAACCTCAACCCTCAACATCCAACAGGATACTTTCTCTCACCCTGACTGTGTTCTGACCGAAAACGTTTCCCTCCGCCCTCCCTAACCTTGGGTGCAAGGAAGTTGACAGCATCTCTGTGTAACTTCATCACGGGTTCAAAGGTCTTCTGACTCAGGGATGAGCACAGGCTCAAGGGAAATGGTATGGAGGGGGACCGGCCCGCCCGTCGACACCCACCCCAGAGCGGATCTGTTGAAGGAAGACCGGTTTATTGGTGCGTCCCCCCGGAGCTCATGGAAGTCAGGGATGGCTTCGACCTGTGCTGGCTTGATGGGAGCAGGTCTGGGTGCCTTGCCGAAGCCGCCAAACGGGGTCGCCACCCTGGATGTGACAGAGCGATAGTGTTAACAGTAGCTGTGGTGTGCTAATAAGAGGGACTGCAGAGACATTTTAAGAGTCACAACTAATAAAGTCAAGCAAAGAATTAGACAATGAGTCATAGTCTAGGACATAGCAGCTCAGAGTGAGATGCATACCTATGTACATCATATGAATGATGATACTTGTCTGCACAGCGAACACGTGCATGCATGATAAATTCAAACTAGGTAAACTATAAATATTCCAAACAAAAATAACTTCTGCTGCAAAGGAAAAGTTGAAGTTATAAAACTCTTGTTCCTGCTACAGCCTGTAGTTTAGCTTAAAGGGGCTGGATATTTATTCTTCAACAGTGATTTTTAATAGCTTATCTGTGAAATATCTCCTGCCCCGAAAGAGGAGTTATGGCACAATATTCTCCTCAGGATCAGACAGTAAGGACAAAAAAATCTTATGTGGATGTCCAGTTTGGAAGTCTTGTTATATTTTATTGATGCCTTGCTGTTCATCTGTGTGCTCATTACCTGTTGAAACTTTTGTACCCTGGCAGGTCTGACTGGGGCTCGGGCTCAGGCATGGAGGTGGTGAGAGTACTGGCTAAGGCCGGATCACTGTTGATGGCCTGCTCCCACGGTGAAAAGTAGGACTTTGGCACAGCCGTACAATTGAACTTCTCTGGAGGGATGTCTTTTAAAGGACCTCCGTACCCTGTGGTGGGTTATACAAAGCAGACAGAGATTGAGCAGAGGGCTTTTCCGTGTCAAATAAAGAGTAGACATTAGTTTTTCTTTTTTAAATACACTTTTTCCCATCATTTATTCTTTTTGCTTGTGGAAATAAACTAAGTTGAGGTCTTTAAACTCAAACTCTCTCTCTCTCTCTCCCTGTGTGTGTGTTATTAAAATGTAAATCTTTCAGTCTTAGTGCTGAACATTGTAATACCCTCCACAGTTTTTTCTTCTTCAGCCCTTTATTCCTCGCTCGCAGCAAAACAAATAACAGCCCGGCCAGCGTCCCTGTGTATGTGCACGCCTGCATGAATGTCTCCCTGCATAGTCTGTGTGTGTTGATGGGAAAGGCCGATCCGAAGCACTATCCTTCAAACCCAGCGCTTCACTCAGGGGGGGCTCACAAGCTGAGGCCTTATATAACGTGAGGTGTCACGTCCTAACCTCTCACAATGAACAATCCCCCTTCCTGAGTTTATGTTTTGCCCTGAGGAGGAAGCAGAAGAGACCAAACAGACCTGCAGGGGAAGTTTACAGATTTTGGGGGAATCTATTACAAAACATTGTGTAAAACATTTTTCTGAAGCCCGGGAACATTGTTCTTGTAATCGGACATTTGGCTGGATTGGATATGTTTGTGGGCGAGGAATGTCACACACCCAGATCTATGGCGTGTGTTTGCAGATAAAAATGTGATCCCAAAAAGTCAGCAGGCTGGGATTTTGTACACATTGTCCATACATGATTTTCTAGTTTTAAAAAAAAACATATATATGCTGAAACATAATCCTATAAAAACACAATAGATTTTTCTGTATGCTTTGTTTTAAAAATTTGAATAAAGCAACTCAAGTGCATAAAACAGTATTTTGCCAGATGTACTATGCTTTTTCTGCAAGACTATACAATGTTTTTACTTCTTACTCCCAGCCAATACAATTTATTATGAGTAATATAAGTTGTACGTTTTCTCTGTATTTCAATAGCCAGGACATAGAAAACGCACCCCTGGGTGGATGAGAGTGCTATTTTAAGGATTTTTACCATTTGATACCTAATGCACTTTGGCCTGATTTCTACTACAGCTGGAGTGACTCATTCAGACAGTTATGGGTGGTGTCTACTCCCAAGCTCCATGAAAAACACGAGACTCCTGGTAGACGTATACTCATCCCTCAATCAGCGCTGGTTTTGTGTCAACTGGGCACAACTGAGACGCGAGGGAGGAAGTGTGTGCAAAGCTGATGGTATCAGTGGCACAGGAGGCACACAGGAAACACTTCCCGTTGGTAAACTCAACAATTTCGTTTTTTAAAAGATAGTCGTAGTCGATTGTGACGCATTTGGGAGAGTCAGGGGGAATGTGGAGTTGGGATAGCGATAGAATGGGGGGAAGGAGAGGATAAGACAGACGGGAGATTGACAATAAAAATGTGAAATCATATTCTGCTCTCGTCCAGCAGATTCCAGACAAGAAGAAAATGTTTTCCTTCATGATCAAAGCCTGCGCAAGAGCAAACAATGAGAAACAGCTGAATCCTTATCTCAACACACAGAAATACCACTTCTCCTGAGCTGTGCTATACATTTAGTACATGTGTATGTTTAAAAAATACAAAAGTGAGACAAAATCACACCAATTGTAATAAAATACACTAGTCGGGACAATCTAGTGCATTGTTCCAACAGGGACCAAAGAAGGTCACTTGGTTTGTCAACTCAGCTTTACTTTATCGGTGCAGCAAGAGTCTTGAGTCCTTGAAATGTGTTGGTGTTCCAGTGCACTGAATCACCAGCGTTACCCACCCGGGGCAATGCTGTCTGGATTCGAGTCCACTCTTGCATCTGGGGTATCAGACGGCTCCTTGGGTGGCTGGTTGTCACCGGAGTCATTTTCGCCACTGTGGCCGTCCGTGGGATTCTCCGCCTGAGAAACCACTGCGCTCTAAAAGAAAGATCGAAGGGGTGTTAAACAGATGATAAACTTTCCATTTTTCTGAGAGATTTATATTCTGCATTAACATTAACTGATTTTTTGGCCAATATTTTAAGATGGATGACATGACTGCTCAGCAAAAGTGAAGCCAAATCGTTTCAATCGCCACCTGGTGGCTGGCACCAGTTTAATTGTATCTCGTCCCTGTTGGTAGATGGTATTGGGACCAAACCATAAAGTACAGATATCAAATATTTTTCTAATTTTTCCAGTAAGTTTGTTTTTAAAAACAAGTGAAACGTCATGATTGACAGCTGAGACTGACGCCTGACTGGTTGTATGGTGCATGTATCGGTGGAACCCACAGATTCTGTCTCCAAATGGGCATCATGGCAGCGTTGGTATCCATGATAAGGTTAGGATAAGGATAGGTTTCATTATTACTTTGTATATATAGTCTCATCTTTTGGCCATTTTAAGGCTGAGGTAAGAAGTTGTAAATATGACACTGAAAACAGTATTGTCACTTTTCTTAAAAGTTGATATAAAATAGTTTAAAAGCTAAAAGCTAAATTAATTAACATCTCACATTTCTGACATATTTAGTTTTACGGAAACACAATAAAAAATGTGATGTGCATGCACGGTAAATCTGGAGCATGGCTCATTCTTATTGAAACCAAATGTTTCACTTTTCAATCCTGCTTTGCTTCATGCAGTGAAAACCCAATTTTCATGTTTTTATTTTTCCAGCAGAGAAACTGTCTGCCAGTCCATTTTCTCTCAGTACAAGAGACATTGTTTTCTGGGCTGGGACGAAATGTACTGCAGCCCGAGCATCCAGCTTTCATCCCTCTGAAAGATATTTATGATGATTTACTGTAGGACTTCCTCAGGAAATGTTGACAACTTGAAACAAAATCCCTCCGTTGCCCTGAGCAATAAACAAACCGGAGATATGCGAGTCCGACTCACTTCAAAGATGAGGAGGGGAAAAAAACTTCCCTGGAGCATAATGATTATTTTATCTATGGGCTTCAAGACGGCAACGAAAAGTACACAAGGCCACCGCAAAACTAAATGAAAGAGGATTTAACCAGTGTTGCAAATGAATTAAGAATACAACACAGAGACACTTAGTTATTTTATCTTGATTCAGTTGTACTGACAGATCAGGCTAAGCCGCTGGGAAAAGAAAATGCTGGCTTGGCACAATGCCCATCCACACACAAAGGGACATTAATAAAAGTGTTTATGAGCAGCTGAAAGACTTTCACTGCTACCATTCTGTGCCACTCCACGTATGTAGCACGAGTCATTTAAACACCTCAAGTGCTTAATCTTTCCCGCATATACTTAGTCAGGATGTAAGGAATTGTGAAAATATTTGTCATGTGATTGAGAGCAAAGATGTGGTGAAAATTAATGACAGTGCATTACCACCGTATGAAATGCCTACAATAACCTCTTTATCAAAGTGAGTTTCCACGGTTATCATGTCCTTATCTCACTATAATAATCTACGTGGAAAAAAATATACTTTTGACATTTTGAGAAACACAATTCACTCTCTTGTTGAGGGTTAGATTCGAATGGCTACACACGAAATATGAAGAGAAAGTTGTAGTTTAGCATAAATACTGGAAGTAGGGAAATAGCTTCGGTCTACTCAGTCCTGGAAGGAGGCCGTCTTCAAGGGCTGCTCAGACTGCAAAGGCCGAACCGAAATGGTGTCCCTATAGCTTGTAGCAGCCCTTATCACTGTTGCGGAGCAGCACAGCTGAATTTGCTGAAATTACGACATGAAAGTCGACAGTGATGGACCTTGGTTTTTCAATATGTCTACTGTTAGCTGTTTGGTTGAGTTGAAGCGTGATACTCAAGCATGGGACGTCTAATCTCGTGCTATTACCTAGTTAGTCTCCGAGGCACAGTGAATCCTGGGATAGGTTGGGCCGGGAAGGATCCACCCGTTGGAGCCTTTGTTTCCCGGGGATGTAAGGACGCGTTTGAAAGAGGTTTCGAAATGAGACTATTTGTACCGCTGTGACGCAATCCGTCTTCAAATAGCCTCCGAAGGATGCAACCCCTGAACTGAAATGAATTGAGGTTGGTAGGTGACAAGTCATAACAGAGTGGGCCACCTGTCCAATCATAGCAGACTGGGCTTTCTCAGTAGGGTGGGCCTTAAAGAGACAGGAGCTAAAACCATAGACTGTATATAAAGAGGCTAAAACCAAGTGTTTCAGACAGAGGCTGAAAAGAGGAGTTGCAGCAAATGAGATTATGAAAAAACTGTTTTCTTAACAGCTTGTAAACCTTTTCAAGTATAACCCAAATTAAAATTATTAACCTGACAATGTGGAATATTAGTTGTGGTCAGGTATATGAGCACAACATGTTATTAAGACCTTCTAGATTTTTTTATTAGTGGTATTTTCATAATTTTACCTTTAGACAAAGCAAACCTTTTCCCTGCTTCCAGTCTTTATGATATTTTAAACCGTACCTTCCTGACTCTAGCTCTGGTCACTACAGACGTTTGAGTGGTATTGATCGTCTCATCTAAGTTTTTGTTCGTGATATAGTCTCTCTCTACTCCTGTAACAAACAATTTAGACGGAAGTGATTTGATTTCATGACTTGAGTATGAATTGAGTATGGATTGGCTCCACCCTGCACATCATTGTTTCTGCTTACATTGATCTGGTTGTTGTTGTTCTGGATGCTCTCGAAGGTGTATTTCTCCGAGCGCCTCTGGCGCATTTTGAAGAGACGGGAGCCCCGGTTGGAGGCAAGTGACAGCTCCTCCAGCATGATGTCCTTAGGCACGCTCACTTTCTTCCCAAGATCCATCTCGAGTTCTGGACACAGAGAAAAAAAACTGGAGACTGAAAAACATTTGTGTATTCACTGTTTGCTGGTCCACGCTTAATCAGACTTCTACCTTTTTTTCTTTTTCTTATACTCCCATCTATCAAACCTCATTCAACACAAAAAAAAAAAAAATATGGTTATTGAACACAGTAAGAAAAGTGCTGCTGCAGCAGAAGGGGCATACTGCATGGCAGTATAATGAATGAGGCATCATCTCCCCTCGTAATCCACTCATGTCCAGAGCTTGTTTTGTGGTTAGCGCCGCTACTGCATACTGATCACGGATATGTCATAGGTCTATATGTGAGTGTGAGACGTGTAATTTGCCAGAATATCTTTCAGCTGTCAGTAGCCTTCAGACCCTCCCTATCCCACTGAACCATGCAGTTGTCCTTGACCAGAAATAGCTTGTTCAAAAGGACAACGACAAAGGGATTAGTTACTTTGGTCCATAAAAGTATTCATTTGCTTATTTATAGTCAGGCAACTGCTGAACTCACACCTTCCACAGTGAGTGTGGCAGTGGATGTCCAATATGTGTGCGAGTGGGGCAGAGTGTGTGTTAACAGTGAAGTAAATATGTGTGCTGTAAGTTATAAAGTTTAAATCCGTCTCTATGTGTGTGATAAAAAGAGAGGACAGAGGGTTGAGAGGAGCAGACTGTGAAAAGGTGAGATGGAAACCAAGGGGATGAGAAAAAAGGCAGGTGAAGAGGAAATGATTCATCTACCTTCCTGCCCTAGAACCTCCCTGCAGATCGCTGCTGCCTGCATTTTCCGCTCGCTGGTCGTCATGGTGGAGAACTGCGACATGGCTGCCCCTGGGGGGGTCGGGGGTGAGGCAGAAAGTCTCAGGAGACAGTGCACATCAGTACAACCTGTTCAAACGCACAACAAGACACAAAGGCAAGACAACGCGGCTGCATGTTGGCCATCGATCGGCCAACATCAAGCATCCACGCCACGCACAAAAACCATCTGAGCAGACAGAACCCATCGGGCAGCGAAAAGGGCAAAGTTAGCACATCCCTTTAAATAACCTTGGCCTGTTAAACGCCAAGCACATGCTCTTCAGACATGGCAACCAGCTGTGTCAGGGGGTCTGGGAATCAATATGTTTGAAATTACCCAAGTGGGCTGAAAGGACATAGATAGAGAACATGCTGCTGTCACAGCAAACAAGTGACGACGGGCCAGATGAAATAGCACAGTGGAGGTATCAAGTGAATACAACTCAAGTGTTATATTCCATTCCAAAAATACTTTTCACAAAGTTTTTTTTTGGGGGGGGGGGGGGGGGTGGAAGAAAGGAAGCCACTTGTCTCCAAACATGTCAAACGGGTAAGTAGATAAAAAGCAAGTTTGCAAAGTTTACTCTCACTTTCAACTTCAGACTTTTATCAGCTTTATGCATTACTGTTAAAACCTGGTTATTCTCCACATAAAAACAACAAGATAAAAGGCAGCTCATGTCTTAAAAAAGCAGAATCATGAAAAACACGTCAAGCTGAGACTCACAGAAAACTTTGAAGGGGACAAACATAAGAATCATGCACAAGTACCTGCGGAGAAGCCCAAAGTGATGTCTTACCTGTCCTGAAGGACCCTCAAGGGGTGGTGGTGGGCTCAATGTGTGCCTCGGGGTCAGAAGTCAGAAAGGGGAGAGGCAAGGGGGTCAGACTGGGGAGGCTGAGGTGCTCGTGTCTCCCCGGCACTGGGGTTCGTCGTGGGGAGGGTGGGCAGAGGGGGCTGCTGCCGGACCCGTCTGCCTGAGCGACTGAATGAGTGGGTGGGTGGGTGTGAGTTTGTGTGTTGTCATTGGTATTTAGTTCACAAGCGGAGGGGGGGGGGTGACTAAATTTAGAGCCCTGTGGTGTTATCACAGTATCAGGATGGTTTGTAGGCTATCAGTGATTACCAACCAGGAATAAGTTACTGCTACAGTTACTGGTGTATGAGGAAAGATTGTAAAATAACTAATTGGATCAAACAGAATTAAAGATTTGATTCAAAATAAATCTGCACACTGAGAAACCTATAACACTGGAACCCTTTTATGATTGTAAGTGTAACAAGAAATAGTTCAGAGCTGAGCATATGCATAACTAGCTGAAATAGATGAGTGAACAGTTATAGCAAAAAGTTAATTAAAGATATAACATGTTGTAATATGTAAAGTTAGCCACTAGGATATATATATAGGACAAAATACATAATTTGATGATGTGGCAAAGCAGCGTGGGATCATGGGAATTGTTGTCTTTACCACCTTTACTTTTGAAAATCTACCTGGAGCAAATCATGTTCAAGGATGACGTCATGTATTAAAAATCTATAGTCACGATCCATTACGAGGGACCAGTACAAAACAGTGGAAGGAAAAAAAAACATTTGTCGTTTGCCCCTAAATTTATGGCAGAAATGAGCAAAGCCACAAGTAGAGTGGATATGATGCAATTAACAGGTGACCGAAATGAATACTGCTTCAGCTATTCTATATCCACCATGACTGCCTGAGCTTTATCTTTGGCAAAAGACAGATAGTGATGTACAGTGCAAAGGCCAATGATCTGTTTGCAAATATACATGAACTCTGAAAGCACTACAGGGATAAAAAAAAATAAAACACCCTTGGAAAACACTGACAAAGCTTAAACATAAAAAATAAAGTTGCTTCAGCTGCCTCTGTATTTATCAGCTGCTGTGGACTAGCAGTGCACAGCCAATAATAAATACATTCAGTGACAGGCAGCATGGGAACATCGCCCCCTCAGGGCCTGCAGACCAATCAGATACTATTTGCTTTAAAGGCCGTCATGTGATATAGGAGAGACAGGAGCTTAATAGGATGCACTCACCTTATAATCCAGTCACAATGTTTTAATTGACTTTGCCGAATTTAATTTAGCTCCTATATATTTATTTATTTGGCAGAAGAGGCAAATAAAGGGAGACGGGAGGATCTGCTCAAGCATAATGTTGGATGTTCAGGGGTATAGTGTATTTCCTGCCATACAGAAAACTATGCCATACACAAAATGAAATATCATCCATATTGCAATTCAGGCTTCACCATTTGAATATTCTGAAGAGTCTTTTCCAAATCTAAATTGCCGGTGGGGGGAAATAATTTCTGTTTATCGTCTCCCTCCCTGTGCCCTTATCTCTCATTCTCTAATGGTGCGGCTGCAGTAAGCACCCACTGTTGTTATGTAACATGTGGTCACCATGGGAACAATAGCCCCCCCCAACCCAACCCCCTCTAACCTAACCCCCTCCGCTGGATAGGCAGCCAGGGACTGTTGAAGACAACACGTCGCACAGAAAGCTTCATGGGACGGCACAGCGAGCAACGAATGGCCCAGAGCTGAAAGTATTTCATGCTGGGCATAAAGAGCAAAGAGCACAGACACATGGTGGAATTTGTGAAGAAGTGTCATTTTGATGTATTTATTCTTGTAAAATGTGAAACTATATCGGAATTAGGTTGCTCGTATGGAAGCAATACAGTGAAATGATCACAGATACACAAAAATACGCCAGGATGCTCGAGACACACACAATGTTGTGTGAGGAGTCGTATTCATATTTATGAGATTATGTACACACTGTGGAAAAAAAACCAACAATCTAGTCTGAATTGGAAGAGATGATTGCAAGTCGCTAGCAAAAGCCCAAACCAAACTCAAGCCACAAACTCATTAAACACTGTAAGCAATACTCCTCCTGCCACTAAACCATCCTAAAAATCCTTTCTGCAAAATAACATTTCAGAATTCAATTAATAATCAGTTTAAATCCCAACTAAAATACCACTGTCCTTCTACGTGCTAGTTTTCCAGGTGGCAAACCAAAAAAAGTGTTGGAAAACTCTTCTTCTCATCTTCTCTCCCTCTGAGTAGTTGGTGGCCATATGCAAATGCAATAATTAAAATGGACCAGGTAAATAAATCTCACTTATTCACGCTTACGTAACCACACGTCCTGCCCACAACGAGTGATGGCACTAACCTTTCCCGGAGTTTTAAGCCTCATTTCTAATTGCCATCCTGACAGTGACGGGATTTTCTGAAAACACCACCCTTCAACATTCGTTGATCAAAAACCAAACAAGCAAAAACACAAAAAGAAAAATGTGCACGTTCACTGCAAGAACCAGCATGCTGAATACATACATCCACAACAGAAAAGGAAACCGGGATGAACCACAAGCTCGGAACAATTCTAGAGTCATTCTGCAACTTACTTTAGAGTGCGTAGGTTTCTTCATTTTAGTCATTATCCCCTCATATCTCTTTTCTCAGGACACCATCATTACCTCCGCCAAGGTTTGTTTATTTGTTTGAGTTGAGGATTATGCAAAAAGAACGACATGGATTACCATGAAAGTTGGTGAAACAATGAAATGTGGAATAAGAGAGAAGCCAAAGTTATGGATCCAGGAATGTTTTGCCACTTTCTGTAACATTGCGAGATAGGGTGTCTTTAGACAGTTTAAAAAAGGGGACTGATCTATAATTGGAATAATAAAAAATCTGGATCTAGATGTAGTTTCATAAGGCCTTGGCGGAGGTATGCGCTCTACTGAGTACTTCTACATTCTGAAAGTTTAACATCAGCTATAGTCATCTCCAGATATACTGTTTCTACTCAGTGCATCCATTCCTAACAACATACTCACGGCTTTTTACGATGAACTAACTTCAGTGTATCCACCAATCAATTCACCAAGTAAACTCTCCAAACATTGTTAAAGTCATCATCTGTCTTCACATTTGATTGCTGCATGCAAATATTTCATCTAAATCTTTTTAAACTAAAGATTTAACAGGAAAAAAAGTGTTTTGAAAAACATGTAGTTGCATGAAAACCAAGAGAAATCCAACAATCTTTCCAAAAGTCCATTTCATGTTTCGCTCACTGCACACTCAAAATTGCAATGAAGCTCTAACTGCACTCAAATGCGTCACAAGGTTGAGTTGTATCCTACCGTCTCCAACTCCAAGTGTTGGTGTACACAGACTTGTAAGTTTGTGTTCCCAAGGGCCTTTTATATTCAGGGGAAGACACAGAGGGCCCAAAGCTTGCCTCTGGCACAGGCCTCCGAGGCTGCCACTGTCTGGGCAGAGATCTGTACCCGGCTTGACTAGCGGCAGTGGAGACAACGCTCTTTGCTGGGGACACAAACGATGGCAGGGGGGCCCGACTCTGACCACGGCTCTGGCTCCAAGTCTGGCTGCCAGTTTTCTGAGGGGCTTGGTAAGACCCGGCCTTCCATTCCGCTGGCGGCTCAGGCAGCAGTTTGCGCTGGGCTGCCAAGCGAATGTTTGAGGCAAGGGTTTGGTGGAGGTTCTGGAAAGAGAAGGCCTCATCCACCAGGCCCAGGGGGTGTCGGGAGGCTGCCTCCCAGGGCGAAAGAGGCTTGCAGCCTTTCTCTAGCCAGGATGCCTGCCTTGCTGGGGGAGTTGCGGAAGCCTGAGGCACAGGCCTAGGGGAGGAAGAAGTCGAGGCGTACTTCTGGCCTTTGAATGGTGTTCTGGCTGGTGGGGAAAGAGAGTAGCTCCTGCCAAGGGCCTGTAAGGAAAGATCCAGACATGTTTGTTTTAGTAAGGGTTCAGTTTTGTTTGGTTGACTGGCTCCTCCAGCAACATCAAATCCGCTCGGAAAGTGATGGAAAACAGAGGAGCACTACGTCAACACATTTCTTTTAAGTGCGATAATACTCTGTTTAATTTAATTTTCTTATAGATAAATATTGAATGTTAAGAAAGAATGCTAAGATCTAAAGTAGCCAGCTAAATAAACGAACTAATGTATTATTATTAAACCTATTGAGGAGATAATAGTTCATTCTACATTAAGCCTCCTCAGCACAGGAGTGGACTATACTTCTCAGAACAAGTGGCTCATAAGAGTATCGCCACGGTAAGCCACATTCAGCTCATCGTCACTGGATCTGATTTTCTACACAGCAACGCGTCTGAATTAAAGCAGTGAGATGGTGAAACTAATAAATGCTTGATAGTAAAAACTTTCACAGAGCTGAGGGTTACATGGGGTGAAAGAGTGCCTCTGTGTCGTCCAGTCCCTCTGACAACACATTCTGTGGGGTGGAACAAATGCAGAGGCAAGGCAGTGCTGCCATCATCTGGCCAAAGATGTGTAAAATCAGCAGGTGGAATTGGAAAGAGCAGAATAGAAAAGAGTGCAGACATAAAAAAGAAGCTACATGAGTCAATAGGGGCAATAAAATCGAAGCTGTCTCAGGTATCTGGAAGGCCTGTAGGCTTATGCTTATCCTGGAGGGAGGCAGACACTAGAGGCAGATTAACAGAAAATCTGAGGTCACGTTATTTGCTTTGTGCCGTTTATGTCCAAAGTGCATTGGAGTGCAGAAGATCAAACTGAACTAGGATGTTAATCAGATCTTTACAGAGCATCTGCAAATTCCACGTTGTGGTTAAAACATTCATTGTTTCTATATGCCTCATTGAATTCTATGTTCATGGTTCAAATCTTCTGATAATACCAATTCATATTATGTTGCTATAACATTTTTTCAACCATCTTTATTTACATGCTTTTATTTTCTTTATGTATCCATCTTCGACTTGAGTGAAGCCTCTTATTATTTAATCACATCTAAGTATAATAAAATGATCTTTCAGTTTATTTCATTCATTTTTAATTCAGTCATCAGAATGTTTTAGAAATTAAATATGGTTGAGATAAAAATATGTATGGAAACAATAGATACGGCAATAGCGGGGGCAACTCCCGCCATGTGAATAGGACTCAGCTGCAGAAGTCTGTCAAATTAACACAACATTTGATATGAAAATTTCCACCTAACCCATAACTGCCCTTTCTGCAAATGCATGACATGACATGGATATACAATTTAGGAGGGGGCCCACTCACTTGACCCCCAGTTACCCACTGAGGTCGCCTCTCAGTGAAATCACCGGTCTAATAATACCCTTCACAAATGCATCACCAGGTAGTCATTCTGCAGGAATGTGCTGCTCAAGCATTCACCTCCATCTGGTGAGGAAGTACATGATTCCTGTAATGAGGTGTTGGAGAACTCTTTATGTAGTGTCAGCTGTATTTTAGTTTTACTGTTAAAAGGTGATTGGTTGGTGAAAGATAGTGGGTGCTTCAGTAGAAATGGTTTGTAGTTGAAATGAAATCCATCTTATCTGTGCTGACGCAAACTTTATCTTTATCAGTATTTACAGTAAAGGTGAGAGAAAGTGGTGAAATCCAGCGACAGGAAAGGAAAAAAAAGCGACCAGAAATAGAAGAAAACCCAAAAAGCATGCACAAAGAACAAAAAGAAAGGGAGAAGAGAAAAAGGATAAAAGACATTTAATGGCACTGCAGTGAATCATACAGAAAGTGCACTATGAAGAGAAACACACACAGGAAAAAGAAAAGAACACAAAGAGAAGCAGCCCTGTACCAAAAATATAGGGGTGAACATTACTGGGCTGGTCATCCTTTTTGTATATTGTCTATTCATATAAAACAAAAGCAGGAGAAGATGCATTGAAGGGTCAGACAAAGACAGTGGGCAATAATACTACATTACACTATACATTTTTCAGTTTTTTCAGAAAAATATTATAGGGGTCTGAGAGATAGTAGCTTTCGCTTAAGGCTTCAGTTGAAATTCAAGCCTTCTATTCCTGGACCTCAGCGCTCCCTCTCATGAGGCAGTTTAAATATAGGACCTAACATGATGCAATAGTTGGTAAAAAGCTTAAAATAAATGGGAGAGAAAGCATTGAAGAAAAGTGTTTGCTAATCAAGCATTTAAGCAAGCCACTGCTTGGTTGTCACTTTAAAGGAGAACTGCTGTTTTCTCTATTGTTACATAATCCCTTTAACCTTGTACCAACATCACTAAGATAATAACCTTAGCCTTCTGCTTACCATCACCCTCCACCACTTAGTTACAATTGTATTACTTTTTTTTCTTCTTCTTCTTAATCAATATTAGGCACAGTGTTTTCTTTCAAAAATCAACTTCCTGTTGTCACAGTCAAGAACCATTCACTATTTTTATTTCTTTTTTTCTACAGCTGAGTACTCCCCTACATCCTTTCTTCTTATTCTTTAACAAATAATTACAATCATTAATAGTTATTTTCTTTAGTCAATTTATATAGTATATATCCATTTATAGTGAAGTATCCATATGCATTATCTTATATAAAAATGCTCCTCTGTGTCTAACGAGCCATACTTACATCCTGTTCTTATTCTTATGCCCTTAACTTTTTGTGACACCATTCACATAATCTCTTTGAGAACCACCAAGCTCTGTCCAATGTCAAGAGCAGGTGGAGGTGTAGATATTCATGACAGCAATTTAATGTGCTCTAAATGTTCCACGTGCCAGTGGACTGTAAGAGCACCAACGTTGTGATTCAATCCGACAGATTGCATGCAATGAAATCACTCTTTATCAACTGCTGTCGGCTTCCACACTTGAGCTGAGCTCTTTTTAGCTGTAAATCTAGGCTTAGGAGCAGCTACAGGGTTGCCACCTGATGCAGATTCAGGCCTAGCAGCCACAGGGAAACTAGGAGCAACAAAGCTACTGGGAGGCTGTGGCTGGTAAGGCACTGAAGGAGCGGCCAGGTAGGGAGGGCTGCTGGCTGGTTGGTACGGAACCTGGGGTGCCTGTTGGTAGGAAGGGTTTGAAGGTTGAGGAGCTTGGGGATGATAAACAGGCTGTTGATACTGTTGGTTATATGCTTGCTGGTAAGGGCCAGCAGGGGGTTGCTGATAAGTATTAGGGTGGGCATAAACATTAGCTGGGGGTTGCTGGTAGTGGCCCTCATGCATCATTGGTTGCATGTGCACCCCATAGGCCTGCTGGGGGTATGGGGCATTAAGTGGTCCAGTTGGCTGGATGGGAGCCATTTGCTCATAACTAATTGGTTGATTTTCAGCAGGGGGGTTAGGAGGTGAACAGTCAGGCTTAGGCACAGGGGGCTTAGGGGCCTCCACTGCTGGACCAAAAGTAAAGAGTGAGGAATCAAGTTGATATGGTTGATGTTTCATCACATCTATAACATTCAGGGGTTTAGGGGCAGGTCCTTGTTTCCCTTTAGCTTTTTTCTTATCTTTGGATGCAGAACTATTTGGAGGGGGCTGCTTTGTTGCTGCTGGGGGATAAGAAGGGGACTGAATAGGATTAAATGCCCGTGAAGGTGGAGCACGTACGTTAGGAGTATATTTCCACTCATTTGGTAAGGAGGCAACTGGTGATGTTGACCGGCTCGCCTTGTTCGCTTCCACAGTCTCGGAGTCCACAACATACTTCTCCATACGAGACTGTCTCTTGGCAAACATATCAGCTCCTTTCCCTCTAACAACTGGCATCTCATAAGCTGGACCTGCAGATGATGGGTTTAAGGTAGTGGCCATTGGGTTGATCGGTGATGAATCTCTTTGACGAATGGTTAAAGAGTGCATTCGCTGGGGTGGAGGGGGTGGGGTGCGGTTTTGTGGGGCATTTTGTGGTGGAAGCCAAGGTTTTGGAGAAGGACGAGTGTTCACCATTGACGTGGAAACATTTACAGGTGTTTGCTGTGACTCTGGTGCCCAATGTGTCTGAGGCTGAGTCTGAGCTGGAGGCCAAGCTGGATTAATTGATGGCTGTGGTGGAGACTTTGAAGTGGATGGTTGCCAATTTGACTGTGCGGACTGGGGTGGAACTGGTTGAGCCCAAGGTGGTTGATTTTGGGCCTGGTTTTGCTCTTGAGCCCAAGAATTAATCGAATGCTGACCATGCTCTGGAGGATGCTGGGGCCATGAAGGTTGGGGCGGAGCCTGGGCAGGTACTGGCGCCCATGGATTCAAATGGGCTTGAGGCTGCGCTTGCGGTTGTGTTTGGGCTGCTTGCATCCAAGGTGGCTGAACTTGGGCTTGAGCTTGTGATGGGGGCCATGCATTAATTGAAGGCTGCTGTTGCTGCTGAGGCTGAGCTGAGACCCAAGGTGGCTGTGATGGACCTGGTGCCTGGGCCTGTGGCCATGCTTGTTGTGGAGCCTGATTTTGTTGTTGCTGAACCCATGGTGACTGTGGCTGGGGTTCTGGCTGAGGCTGTCGAACCCAAGGAGGTTGTACTTGGGATTTCTGCTGGGATGGTTGCACCCATGGTGGTTGAGGCTGAGTATCTGCCTCTAATGGCTGTGCCCATGGGGCCTGGGTCTGCTGCTGCACTGGTTCTTGAGGCTGACCCCAAGTTGGCTGCATTTGCTGCACATGTGGTGGCTCTCGAGGCTGGGCCCAGGGTGGCTGAACCTGTGGCTGAGGTTGCTCTAGGGGCTGAGCCCAGGCTGGCTGAGCCTGTGGCTGAAGGTGTGGTTGCTCTGGAGCCGGGGCCCAGGGTGACTGAACCTGTGGCTGAGCTTGCTCTGGAAGCTGGGCCCAGGATGCCTGAGCATGTGTCTGGGCTTTTGCTTGCTCTTGGGGCTGACTCCAGGATGGCTGAATTTGAGGATTCCAAGTGTTTGTGGGGGGTTGAGGCTGGGCTTGGGTCTGAGTATTTTGTCTTGTCACCCAAGGTAACTGTGGTGGGGACTGACTAGGAGGTGGTTCCTGTGGTTGCACTTGAACTGGATGCCAGGAATTGGTAGATGCTTGTTGTAACTGTGATTGTGCTGGAGCCCAGGTGGTCACTGGTGCAGGCTCTGGCTGCACATCAGAATTAATTTGACAATGTTCCTCTTGAGTTGGCACTTGGAGAGGCTGTTTTTGAGATTCAGACTCTGAGAGAGTCCATGTGTGCTGCTCTTCTGTGTTGGTGCTGGCAACAGCCTCCTGGGGGGCAGGAGGGGGAGAGGGCTCAGGAGCAGGTGCAGGGGTTGGCTCTTGCTCTGGAGCAGGAGTAGTGTCTGTGGTGGGGGCTGCAGCAGGTGTGGAAACACTATTTTCAGCACACTGAGCCATGTCCTCGTTGTTCATTTCTATCTGTGGGGACCAAGGAGGAGAGTTGGGGTTGATTGCAGGCTTTGGAGCCACTGGTGGAGGAATCTTATGTTTTCCTCCTGGAGACTGGAGGAAATTACAAGCCTCAGCCCCAAGGCTGAGGTAGTCTTCCTCAGGTCCTGACTCAAAACCCAACTTCTTATCACCCCTGTTGAGGAGGTTCAGTAATGCTGGGTTAGGTGACACTTTTGGAGCTTCCTTAAATGTGAACATTTGCTTGCCAGTATTTCTTTTCCTTGCATCCATCAGAAGGCCAGTCCTACTAGCAGGGGTAGAAATGCGCTCATCGCGGGATGCCAGCTGCTCTCCTTGGCACACAGAATCTTCATTGGTCCCACCCATTGCGGGAGAATAAGGGGTAGCCGCCATCTTATCGACTGAGAAAGGCTTTGCAGTGCGATTGCTGAAAGAATTCTGCATTTCATTGGTTTGATGTTGGACTGTCCCATTGACGTTTGAAGAATACTGCTGCATTTGCTGTTGCTCTTGCTGATATTCTTGCTGCTGCTGATACATTTGCTGCTGTTGATAATGCTGCTGTTCATACTGCTGTTGCTGGTACTTTTGGTATTCTTGCTGCTGTTGGTAGCTCTGTTGCTGCTGTTGATAGCCCTGTTGCTGCTGTTGATAGCTCTGTTGCTGCTGTTGATAGCTCTGTTGTTGCTCTTGGTAGCTCTGTTGTTGCTCGTGGTACTGCTGTTCTTGATACTGCTGGTACTGGTGTTGCTGTTGGCCTTGCTGGTGTACATTTACATCCATGTAAGCATGGCCCTCTGTTGTTGACTGCATATACGAGTGCTCCAGTGTCTTCTTTTCAGACTCCTGCAATCCTTCCACGGGAATCCCCTGGCGCCTTAGCTCATCATGCTCAGCAGCAATCTCATCCATCCGCTGACGCCGCTGGACAAACATTAGGGCACCCTTTCCCTTGGTATCAGGCAAACACTCCATCTCTGCTTGGTTGTTCAGGTTCCTTTCAATCTCAAGGAGACCCTTGTCCCAGTTGATAGTCAGCACACCTTTGCTGCTATGGACATTAGTGAGGAAATGCTTATCTATTTCAGAATCGTTCGGAGCCACAAGGGTAAATTCAACAGTATGGGTTTCTTGTTTTTCGTCTTCCTCGTCCTCGTCGTCGCTGTTCCCTGATTCGTCCTCTCCTGTGCCGTAGCTCACAAGCGTGTACTTCTTGGCCCTTTGTCGATGTTTCTTGAACATCAACACCCCTTTGTTGTTGGGGTTGGGCGGAGCAGCCGTAAGGAGGAGAGCAATACGTTTACATTTGGACTTGGCCTCCTTCACCTGCTTCTCAGACAGACTCTCGCTACGCCTGAGCCCTGTGTAGAGGAGGAAAAGAGATAATTCTGTGTTTAGAAAAAAAGGTACTTTAAATTTAAGTTTTGTTTGTACTTTTCAGGTTTTTGGTCACTGAGTGAGGCTGTTGCAGACTGTATCTACCCCAGTCACAATTGGAGTTGACTAAATTACTTTACATCTATTTTTGTAATATGCCTATGAATATCAATCTGAAAATAAAACAATATCACATTATATAACTCTCACTGGTTTCAGCATTTATTTTAAGGGCAAACATAGATCATGCACGTTCAACTTGGTGACAGGTAAAAAGAGATAATGTTTATAAAAAATACAGAGCTAAGCAAGTAACAAAGCTGTTAATTTCGATGTCTACGCTGTCAACATTTTGTAAAAGTACATCCTTTGTGTCCAGTAAAAGCATAAGCAGCAGACTTATATATAACTTGTTGATGATCCATGTTATATGTTGTCTGTTGTTGATCTGATATAATTGCAAAACAATTAAAAACTAAGCTATAAACCGATCCCTTCACAAAGGAAGAGAAATATGTTTTATATTCCCTGTCCACACAAATTCTATCCAACCATAGCTGTGTACTTTTCCTCATTATTCTAAATTTGCTCGAACATAAATCATCTACCGGCAAAGCACTTACAAAGTTCTCTGACCCATATCTAATATCCTCATTTGTCCATCGAAAATTGCGCTGCATTAAATTGGTTATTAATCCCCATAAAGCAGCCGGGTATAGGAACTGAGAAGGATTAAAGATAGGCTGCATGCAATAAATTCACCAGGACCAGCTCATCTTTGCCAGCCACCTTATCTGTAAGTTCATAAACTGTCACCTCAAAGCTAAAATCGATTACATATACTCATACTTAGGCCAATTTGATAACATACACCACACTACAAACACTCTCTCAAATCATCCAGCAAGTCAGCGCTGCAATAAAATAACAAGTAGCCTTACTGTGTATTGCTGCAAGACTAACCTGAAGGTGGAGGACACAGCGGGAGTGAGCGACGGACTCACTTTTTTAGCTCAGTTAAAGCACTCAGTTTGAAAGGATCAGGTAACGGGCTGGGGGGAGCACATGCTAGTGTCTGTCAAAGGGCCACTTCTGCAGGCATCATCAGCGTGCTGGGGTTATATTTATGTCTTCTACACAGCCCAGAGGAATGCCTCAGTATCCATATTCATCATTAAGCCTCTTCTAAAAGAAGATAATTGGTTTATAAAGAGCAGCATCTTCTCAAATATGATCGATTCAACATCCTTTTGTTTCCCTCCTATCAGATTCTTTATATTTTAACCCGTGTCACCATTCAATCTGCTCCCTGCTGCCCTGCCGACACTTAGTGTTGTAATTCAGATCAGACCCGGATGTATCTGCTCCCATTCAAAGGAATGAACACCCTCCTCCAACTGCACAGAGAGGGACATCCTATTTTGAGGGGTACACACACTTGACCATCAGGCTTTGGAATGCACACATGCTGTTGACAAATGCAATTTAGTGACCTATTAGATTGTAGAATATTCCTTAAAGAGTAGATGCTTATAATCCACACACTCAAATGAATTGAGTAAAAAAGAATGCACACAAAATTACGGAACGTAATAAAAATGGAAATGGTCCTTACTGGCGTGCCTTGCCCGATGCTTGTTAGGTTTGTCTAGATCCCCTTCAGACTCAGAGTCCTGCGCTGCTGCCTGTGACGCCTCATCTGTGGGAATTCCAAATGAGACCGTAAAAGACCCAGGGTCTCCCTCACAGAGCCCTCCTCTTTCTTCCCCTTCACTTTGGGATCCAACGCTTCCACTGACCCTGGGGCCTCCCACGCTCAGGATGCCCCTCCCTGCTCCGGATGCTGATGGCTGCTGCAAAATGACCTCCACCTGCCCCAGCACCGAAGGGGAGCCGAGCACCACCCCATGCTGGCCCAGCGGCTCTCTCATGGTGCGTGGCAGATGGTGCGATATGGTGGAGGTGTGGATGGTCTCGACAGCCTCCCTGATCGAGAGTCCCCCATCAATCCCACGTGCACTCCCAAGGGAGGCGCAGCCTGCACGGTCCGACGTTTGCTCAGACAGGGAAACCTGGAGCTCAACCATTTCCCCAGGGGAGAAGCACCTTCGTACTTCTTTCTCCCTGAAAAAAGGCTGTTGGTCACTCTGATCATCAGACGAGGGAGCATCGAGCTGGGTGCAAAGCAGCTGGGGTCCCTTGGGGGACTCTGTGTTGCTGTCCAGCTCCTCATAGTAGGCCTTGTCCTGGGACTCAGATATGTAGAGTTCCCTCGGGCTTTGGGATCTGTGCTTTGGGGAGAGGATGTGGAGGGTGGTGCTCGCTAAAGCATCAGACGAAGATTCCCTCTCTCCACAATATGTGTCAGATTCATAGTCTTCAGGGGGAATGGAGCAGTATCTGTCAGAGAAGAGGCGGGGGGACAGCAATGAGTGATAAGGTCAACTTCTCTTAGTTCAATAAATAAAATTGATCATTAAAATAAATAGGAAATTTTGGTGAAATTGTTTGGACATGTGCATTTATAACCATGTGATTTTATATAAATATGATTTTCCTTTGGTGATGTGCACTAAATCTTTGTTTTTTGAATGACTAAGAAATTTAAATAAGAATTATAACAGCACAGAGGATTGGAAAGTGAAGCTTGTCCTCGACTGCTGAAGTTGTTGTTATGAAGTAACTTTCCTTTTTAAACAGCAAGTTAAATGAAAGGGTCAGGCCTCTGAAGTGGAAAATAATCACATTTCAACATTGCTCGACCTAACATTTACTTTCAAGGTAAGGAGTAGCATGAATGCCATAATGTTATTATCTGTGACTGGCATTATTGAATTTAGGCCAATTACATCAGTTACTAATCCTTTTTTTAGCCACAAGCGAGGTCAGCTGCTCTCCATGTCTGAAGAGATCTTCCTGCGTCATAGAAACACATCAAATACAAATCCTGTATTAGATTCAACCACTTAGTTCAACTTCAATGCGCCTTCAAAACAACTGTCTGCCCCTCTGTGGGTTTAAAAGCGGACACACTAGGGCGCATGCAGCAACATTTGAGGAGATCTCAGCATGGTTAACACACTGGCAGTGCCCACTGAGTAATGGCTGAGCAGCTGCACGTCAATCACACAAGTCTGTTACACCTCGGCCGAGCCAGCTGGAAGGTCACCATGGCTGACACACATTCAGTCACCAGTACACACAGTATATACACACCAGTGTATGTACACACATAGGGTCACTGAGCTGCGAAGAAGGATGCAGGTCATAAAAGAAACAAAACAACATGCTATCTAAATGCTAATACAGTGGTGCTGTAATGATTTCTGCACTGCTGTGGTGAACACCAAGGACCTTTTGCAGGGCCCATTTGTCACGACACACAACATATTCCACGGTTATAGATTTTGCATGCATTTTGTTCCCCTCCAATTGTGAATTTATTGGGTGACATGTGGGAACTACACCTTTTGAGAAGCAGCTGCAGGCAGTCGATTGACGTGTCGATGAGGGCAAGGGCCCGTAAGAGGGTGAGATCAGCGCACGGCTCGCCGTTGAGCGACACCACCTCGTCGCCTTCCTGCACTCCGGCCAAAAAGGCGCTGCCTTCTTTTTCTACCTGTGGACGACAGTGGTGAAATTATCACATGATGATATTGAGCAGTTGCACAGTGGGAGAAATGTCCACTACTTTATACACACTATGACTGCTGCTATTTTCAGGGAGTCAATATTTATGTTTTTTTGAAATGTCAGATAGTACTGAGGTCATAATACAGAAACCTGTCCCCTCAGGTCAGCCACACAAATTCAATTTGATCTCGGAAAACTAGAGGACAGTAGTATTTGTACTGTTTTTTTTCAATGGAGAAAAGATTGATTATGCATTTTTATGAAAATCAAAAGGAGAAAACATAAATCAGTGTAATATTTAAAGTTTTTCTAGTCATAGCAGTCAGACATGAACCAAATATAAACATTTCGATTATTATTCTAGAAATATAAAAGAAGAACAAGGGAGATGTAGAATTAATTCAAAACACTTGGAACTTCACTCAATAATCTCGGCGACAGTTTGCACCATTCACACGAGAATATACACTTAGTGTCACGATAGCATCGAAGGTGCACGACAATAAAAGTGGCAAATCCACTTGGTATTTCAACCATGCTGCTGCAATACTAGGCCAGCTCTGCTGAGATCCATGTAAAGGGCACCTCTTTGCACAGTTGAGCTAATGATTGATGGTTTTGTTCTCTTGTAATTGGTTCCTGAGTCCGATAAAATGGTTCATTAATAAGAGGATTTAATAAGGAGAAACACCTCATACATTTTTGCACAAAAGACCACTTATATACGCGAGGGGATAAATGATTACTTCAGGTCCATGCAATTAGCGGATATGCTCTCAGCGAAAGATATTTCGCAAATACTACAAATAAACAGCTTTAGGTGGGTTTGTAAGGTCTGCAGTGCTTTTCGTATTTCTTAAGTAACACTGAAGGGTGTTACATGTGACATCTTGCCATCTAAAATCCCTCCAACTCCATGTTTCTTTAATATTAACAGTCAAATAAAGGCAAAATGGCCAAAAATATAACCTTCAGATATCGGTTGAGATAATGCACAACCTCACCGTTAAATTTATTCACGATTATTAAGTCACATCTATTCATCGGGTTAAATCGACCTGTAGGATTAATCTGCACATTTCCCCAGTAATGTTTAATGATAGATCACAGTCAATTCAGTTTAACCTGAGGCGACACTGAACCTGTCGCCCTGCCATCTATCACACTAATGTTCTCCCTCGCTCTTCAAGTTGATTCACACCATAACAAAACCAAAACAGTCACCTTGGTTTCTCATATTAAAGTGACACAGGAGGACCTGACGAGCAGCAGTGCACGCTCATTGTGGAACAGCGAAGAGGATTTAAAACTGAAAACAACCAAGGTTTTCCAGCTCTCTGACAATATAGGCAAAGGTAGGCAACTTTTAAGCATTAGAATTAAACAACCTTTCCATTCTGTCATCGTCACTGCAACACTGGATTTCAAGCATATATTTCATGCAATATAGATATTCTTAACTCATCATTATATGGGCAATGTAGAAGTAAATGTGATTCATTCTCAACCTCTCTTTATACAAAAATATATATAAATATATATGTTAATGTAAATCATATATTTGTAAAAGCTATATTTTTCAAATTATAAACCAATTCTGAAAAACAATGCCATTATCTTTATCACAAATTTACTTCACTATACTGCACTATTTTGATTTTGGAATTTGAACACACCACCTCCATTGACTTGCATTCAACTCTCAAAACCTGCAGTACAACAATCTTGTCACTAGATGGCAATGCCCACACATACATCTTTAGTTGCTGAATGAAGGAAAGGAGAATCCATGGATGGACACGAGGAAACGAATGCAGTTTATATCCCATAATATTCTATTTTTTTTATTTAGTTTTGTCATACAAATTGCTGAGCACAATAAGTAATTAACTCTTTGCATCCAAGTACTCAATCACAAATCTTGTATCTGACAAAAAGCCAGCCAGGACAAATAAAGAGTCACTATATATACAAACATATTTTATGAGTTACTTTATAGAGCTGGTTGCTTTCAGGTAAAACCCTCCTGTGACTCCATCCCTGAGTTTATAAGAGTGAACCAGTATGCACACAGGCCCTATAAGGCAACCTGTGAGCCCGTCTATAGGGGATGCACACCTCACTACAACAGGGATGATGGGTTCGTCTGGAGGGCCACAGCAACCAGCCGTGCTCCAAAAAAGGAGGGGAAACATTTGTCGTCTTCTCCCCTCGCAACGCAAAGACACTCGTGTAACACTCAAAGGAGGCGAATACCACTGTGTTTTCATTCCTACTGCTCGTAAACTGCTTGTAACGAGAAACCCAGTTTGCAGTAATTGGGCTGGAGAGGAAAACAAATGAGCGCTACTGTAGGTGTCGGACAAGAGGGATCATAAACAGTGCTGGAAAGTTTCAAATTCGAATAAAGTGCCCTCCAAAATTACCACCAGCACCAATCGTCTGAATTCGCATCATGTGGGGTCACAATTAAGACAACATTTATGCCTGAATTATCCTGGGTCGGCCATTTTCAAATTATCTATTTAATAGGCTCAAGCACAATGGAAAAAAAATCACAGGGAAAGAGGGACCGCGTGATGTGCTCATGTAGCCCCCGGCGGTTCCTGCTCTTCACAGCTTAAAGCAATTAGGTTTTTTTTTTAAATTTGAGGTAAATATTTTCCAGCTGTTTGCAGGTACCACTTCCACCATGTGGGGAGGAGAGTAGTGTTTAATGTTTTCATTCACTCATCTAGTCTTGTTCGCTCGGGGCATAATACGTATAGTATAGTTCCCTTTATTAGAACTGTAGATTCATTTTGTAGATTCATTTTGGAAAGTAGCCGATATGGATAATAAGTTGAGAGTATTGATATTATAAGTTATATTGATGATTGACAGCACTGATATTTACTTTAACAAATATATATAAACTATATTTGACTACAGTTAAGCTTCAGTTCCTCTCCAAAGAAAACAATATCTGACATTTGAGGACACGTACGTCATATTTGCAATATTAGTGATTAGTGAAAATACCATAGATACTGTTTCCAGTTCATATACTGTATATTCCTTCAGGTGAGGAGGAAAAACATAAATAATCTATGTTTAAGTGTTCCTCACTGGTCTACAGTTTGAATCCTTATTTTGACAAATATAAAAACCTCACTACAAGAATATAACTGGAAGTGGTTTATTTTTTTCATTAGCATCCACAGCCACGAACACTGTAGCTCATTCCTATTTTATTCAAATTTTAAAGCTGCTTGCCTTAATTTGCATGAATGATGTGAGAGGAAAAAGTCTCATCGTCAAATCTGCTGCCTCCCTGGATGTTAAAAAAAAACAACACAATGCCAAAACTCCAGTAACTGTGGAGCACTTTGTTTACTCCGGGAAAAACTGCACTGGGTGAATGAGGCAATGGCATTTTGCTGATTGCTTGGCAGCTTAATAAGGTTCCTATGGTGCCGTGTTAGAGCTGAAACATCAGCAACAAGAACACTCTTTACTCTGTAAAGTCCAAGATAATCCAGGCAAAGAGGACTCCTAACTCGGCCTCTGAATAGAATTTAGTGGAATTTAGATGATGATTCTCATTATTGCCGTAATTAATTTCAACTTGCAGACTCCAGCCCGTCGCCCAAAAGTTAGAAACTTTGCAGACTTGCATTAAGATTACATTTTGCTATTCAGTGTTCCATAACTGATCTGATGCATGTTGACATTCCACATACCAAGATGACATACTTTAGTAATTAGGAGGCCAAAAATGTCTCCTGCTCAGGTTCTGATGATTAAACAATTTCTAATTCTGAAAGTCTGTTTCGCATTAATGCACATGGCATCACCAAGTCTTTTAACGTATTTTCTATAAGACATCCAAAAAGTGCGTACGATAATTCTTCCATGTTTTCTTCAAAAGGTGTGTTGGTGAATTTGCAGGTCAGGACTTGTTGCAGTTTCTGTAGCTTTAAAAATAAGGTGACCTCATCAACTTTGTACTCGGGCCATGACTCCAACTAAGAAGAAAAACACAGCTTCCCTTATATGGAGAGAACCTTTTAAGAGTGGATACCCTGTGCCCCCTCGCACTGCACCGCCTGTCAGCGCACGGAACAATCACTTTCTCCCGGGGAAACAAAACAGTTTCTCTTCACTGCATTCAACAGAAGCATTTAAAAAGAGAAACTGTGGCTTACATGCCTCCATCTTGGCATCTTTTTCTTTTTCGACTCTCAGCAAACACAATCTGCTCTCCCTCCAGAAGAGTTTGGAGGTATGTTCAGAGTTATGCCTTCCAGATGAGGTGGACTAAAGCCCCCAGATGTCCAAAAGTGAGGCAAATGCATCTACTACTGCTTTAACAGGGCAAACACTCAAATCCAGGGTATTTACAGGACTCTTGTGTGGGGGCGTGGAGAGAAAATTAAAGCTTACACGGGCATTAGATGTAGGGGGTATTCTCCCATAAGGGCAAGATGACAGAGGACTTTCACAGTTGGTTTGCTTACTAAAGCTCGCGGATGCTGCGACCTTTTGGCAAAGCATTTTGTAAGGGTCATGTTGACTCATGCAAAACTCCTTCGCCCTACAGTGAACATAACTTTGTGGGGGTATTTGCTCACCGTACATTAAAAGTAACAGTCTTGTAAGATGGCCATGAATCAAGAGGAATAAGTTTGAGAAAAACATTTGATAGGATCTTGATTGGAAGTTGTGCACGTTTGGTTTTGACTTTAAGACCTATTGTTTTTTATATATATATATATTCTAGATATTTTTGGCACTATGGTCTTTATTTGTAGGACAGAAGTTAAGTGTGAAAGGGGCAGAGAGAGCTGCGAAGACTCAGGCCTTTATTTTTTCATATAATGTAATATAACTTTTGGAAAAACTTCAGAAACAGTGAGTATAAGTGCATAAACTTTTTTTTATTTTGTTGTCCAAATGCCAGAACTCCATGATAAATTCATTCTTTCAGTCCAGATGTTTCAGAGGTTGCTTTACGTTTAACTATTCAGTCTACAGAGACTTATGCAGTGAGGTGTGGAGACAATATCTACAGCCTTACTAAAAAAAAGTGTATCAGTATGTCATTAAAATGATCAACGGATGCTTTCAGGACGCTTTCTTCTGCCGGAGCTTTGATGTCACAGGAATGCAGCTGAAGAAAAACATTTACAACTTCACTACGCCGACGGCAAGCTGATGAGAGACGTGTGCGACCTGAGTACTAGTGAACATGCATGACTATATATAGGCTCCACTGATCTTCAAAATAAAAGCACCTGGCTTTACCTTTCTTACCTCACCCATAAAGTACATGCAAAATTAAATGTTCTGCATCACATAAAAAATAAGAAATTATGGTTTTATTGCAGCATTTTATCTGCCTTCAAAGGTAATTGTGAACATGATTTAGAGGTTTTTACAAATGCTCATTAAATCTAAAGTCATAGCTTTTAGAGAAATAATGACATAGTGGATAATTTAAATGTACAATGTAAAGTTTCTGAGGTCCAGAGGATGAAGTGTGATAATGTCATCAGCTCCAACTATAGTTACACCCAAAAAGCACTATAATACATTATTGCTTGTGTTAGAAAGAGATGAGCAAACGACACAAGTTAACATGGAAATTATTTGTACAGCATGGTTATCAATCAACTCTTAAGTTCCTCTTATACCATGTATGTAAATGCACCATCACAAAAGTGGCTTCATCGCTTGCAGTGTGCAGTTATTTCTCAGGTTTATTACCACACTATCAGCTTTAAGCAAACACCACAGAGCTGATATGTTCTTATAAGCGTATCTATATTTGTCTAACCTCCTGTAACCATCTGCATGTTCTTCTTGCCCCGTTATTCCTACATAACACACGTACGTTTCACTCTTCAGGTCGATTACATGTCCAAATGATGTGTTGCTTTCCTGCTGTAATCTTTGTGAGTGATAACAGATCACACTGGCCTCAGCTTCACACTCTCCCTCGGCCTTGACCATATAAGGGTCCAGAGGAATCTTGCACCAAAACACAGCCACAGACACAAAAATGCAGGGACACACACACACTGCTCTGAAAAAATGTTTCTCCCACCAGGGACTGTTTAACTTAAGATTTCTCTTTTCTCCAGTGAATGGCTCAAAAGAAACTTTATCAAAACTGAAGCAGATATGGCTCGTTATCCAAACTGACGGGGAATTTATACAGTCTCAAATATCCAACAGTAAAACTCTCAACATATTTACAGACATAGCCCTATTCTCATATGATACATTAAAATACTAACCTCATGTTAATTATAGATATAGAGTTATATAGAGAAAGATAAGGATAAACATGGAGAAATGTGTATATATAGATAGATAGATTGATAGATAGATGATCAAGGGAGCTATGGAGAGATTGAGAGAGTGATAGAGAGAGATATCGAGAGAGAGAGATGGAGTTATACAAAATGGGAGCGATATAGACAGAGCTATAGGGAGTTATAGAGAGATGAAGAGATATAGAGAGTTATAGAGATAGGTAGAGAGATAGAGAGAGTTATAGAGATAGGTAGAGAGATAGAGAGAGTTATAGAGATAGGTAGAGAGATAGAGAGAGTTATAGAGAGATGAAGGGATATAGAGAGTTATAGAAATAGAGAGAGTTATAGAGAGATGAAGAGATAGAGAGAGTTATAGAGAGAGATAGAGAGAGTTATAGAGAAAGGGAAAGATAAAGAGAGAGATGGTGATAGAGGAAAAGATGCACATAGAGAAACAGAGGCATGGGGACACAGACAGACAGACAGACAGACAGACGGATACCTGTGAAATGAGGAAAGGTCTGTAGGTGTCTCCCTCTCCCTCTCTCAGGGTGAATCCCCAGGGTGCACCACCACGCAGCGTCACGCAGATGTAATCCCCGGTGCCCATGATGCTGCGCGCCGCTCTTCTTCATCCACACAGCAGCGCTACCATGGAGCTGACTGCCGCAGCAGCACTTTGCACAAACCCCGTCTCCACCGCTGCTCTGTCTAATCCCCATCACCCGAGCTCTGCCCGAGTCCAGCCCGCTGCTGGAGACGTCACGGCGCACGGACCCGCCTGCAGGCGTCGGCGTGCAACTGGTGGTTTGAGTCCTGCATGGAGAGAGAGAGAGAGAGGGGGGGGGGGTGAATCATCCTGGTGAATACTGTCTCCTATTATACTTGCAGTACTCAGTCTATTACTTTTACTAATCTTCTTCCATTACATACTTTAATACTCATATACTCTATTAGTTCCTCCTATTCTATTACATAGTTTTAATACTCCTCAGTTAGATATTCTTTAATACTCACATACTCATATCCATATACTCTATTACTTGCTCATCTTCTTCTGTTGAATATTATTGATACTCACACCCTATTTATTCTTACTCTTCTTCTATTACATAGTCTTAATACTCATATACTGTATTACTTCTTCCTCCCTTCCATTACTTCCTCCTCCTCTTCCTCTTCTTACTTCTTCCTCCTTCTTCTTCCCCCTCCTTTTCCCCTTCTACTTCTTCCTCAAGATTCAAATCAGGGGCGTAGGCCTCAGTGTAATGAATACAAACACAATTACAGCTTGTAATGAAAGTTTTAAATAAAACTCAAAACCACAACCCCAAGAAAATGTGGACTTGTCCAGAATTAAATAAACATTTTTAACAATCCACTTGATTATTTAAATAAAGGCTTATTTATGTCACTGAAATTTTAGGCACCAATGCCATCAACAACTAAATCAATCCTAACTGTATGTAGCAGATGTGATGTGGCCTGTAACTTTAACTTCAACAACTTCCACAGTCCTGCATTTAAAGAATTTGATACTGATTCTGTTCTGATGTTGTCATCCATGTTTTATTTTATTTATAAAATTGTTATATGTTTTTATGATAACAGAGAGTGTGGGCTGCTCAGGTGAACAGAGAAGACATGCAACTGCTTGGGGCCTCAAGCCAAGAGGGGGCCCTCGAGGGCTGACACACTTTTACTCCACAGCAATGTCTCATGACGTGGCCAGTGACTACACCCCCCTCTCTCTTAAACAACCAATGGCTTATTCACAATGACATCTCAGTAGGAAACCTCCCTATAGGGGCCCCGGTGTCATTCTGAAAGTTTGAAATAAAAATGAAAGCAAAGGAAAATGTCGGCAAGAATGTTGTATATATTTAGTACTATATTTGATATATACTATATTTGACTGCATACTATGTCGTACTATGTTTTGAGTAATTATTGTGTTGCGTACATATATGTTCAGTTTTTAACATATTAATATGTTCGGTCTACTTATATGTTTACACCAGGGATCAGAGGGCAACAGCATTTATTTCGATTTTGGAAAATCTGCAGGTTTTTATGCTACATGTTTGTTTTTTTGAAAAATTTACTTATGTGATCTGAAAAAAAAAAAAGTCACACTTCTTAACCTTCTTTGGTGTAAGATACATTACGCTTATGATATTTGTATTGTCGATATCTCCATTAGCACATACTTCTTTAGAGTGACAGCTTTGTAGTGGTTCTGGTGGCTGGACTTTCATCTCACTGCAACTTGTTCTTAACTCATTTTTACCTTTTATTATTCTTATGCCCTTGTGTTTGGCTTGTATACATACTTCTGTTTAGTCTTATATATAGACTTGTACACAGACTTGCATACAGACTTTATAGACTTTGTATACAGACATATACAGTCTTATACGGTATACAGTCTTACATATAGACTTATATACAGACTTACATATAGATTTATATACAGACATATATAGATTTATACAGTCTTATATACAGTCTTTCATATAGAATTATATACAGTCTATGGTTATAGATCAGTGACATGTGCTGACGTGTATGGGATCCCTTTGCTTCACGCATGCGCACAGCGACATGTACAACTCAGTGTCCTGTGAAGCTGCTTAGAAACAGATCGCCATAGGGACCTTAATATCAACTCTTCAAAATAAAAGCACAAGGTAACATTTAAACGAGATCTTTTGATGCACAAAACGTTAAACCGTTTTTTCCAGAGATGTAAAAACTCCACGTTAAAGTTTAAAGATTCTTGTTGTCTCGTTTTATAGCGTCCGAGAAGGTTTATTCGCCTGCAGGGACTTTATTTTGAAATACGCCGCCGGAAACTCCGGGTGTCTCGGTTCCCTCGTAACGTAGCGACCGGCGCTTCGGTGGAGTTTGACGTGGCACTCCGCTTCTTCCACCGAGGAGAGGACCGCTGAAACATTCAGGTAAATAACGCTGCGACACTATTTACAGCATGAAGCGCACACACGCGCACACGTGGACCCAGCACCCCGTTCAGCTCCACTGACAACTTCCCAGTGATTCTTCTGCTTCCGGTGCGGAGTTAAAAGAAAAGAGAAGTAAAGTTTGTGGTGATTTCCGCGCTGCTAGCAAGATGTGTCCTGTGATTAATGTCGGCTAATAGACACGTCACGTCAGTGCACTCCTCTGATGTGAAGTTTAAGGTGAAATAGGAATCTGCGGTGAGGATACGAGGGTAAAGCTGGATGTGAATCGGTAAAGAAATCACGCAGGGATGCTTCATAACGGTCCCTTGACGTGGCAGAATGTGGGAAGTGGCAGAACGACTTTACCATTGAGCTGTAAACAGTAAAAAACGATTGTCTATTTATCTCTTTCTCTTTTTATCAGGGGGATGTGTATCGGGTGATTGGTTTATTGAGTTGTAATAAAGGGCGTCAGTGGTGTTGAGCACAGCTGTTGTTGTTGTTGTTGACCCAGCTGCGCCTAGAAGTTTGTAAAAGACTTGACGTATTGGAGAAATGAAAGTTTTGCTGTCATTTAGGAGCCAGGACATTAAGACCCATAATCCACAACAAGTGTTTTTCAATGGCTGGCAGCAAAACAGAGAAGGTGACTCCTGCTGAAGATAATCTTCCTTATCTGTCAATAAGAAGCACCAAAGGTCCATGTTACACCAGAAATGGAGATTGCACGAGGTCAAACATTAGCTGTTGCTTATTTGGCTTGTAAACATACTGGATTCATTCAACAAATACATAAATAGAAACGCCTGATGCAAACTGTGCATGGTTTGTGTGATTTTTGTTCTACTGCAAACGATGAATTCTTGTCTTTAATGTCATCTTTTCAACTTCACAGAGCCTCAAAGCTCATGCATCTTGGAATGAGAAGGAAGTAACGGTCGTTTCATCGAGATGAGTCAGCAGGGTTATGTCGCCGCACCCCCGTACTCCCAGGCCCAGCCAGGGATGGGGGGCTACCAAGGTGGATTCGGGAGTGGTCCTGCACAGCCCCTCTATGGACACTACGGCGGGCCACCTCAGGCCTTCACCGCTCCACCGACAGGTAGATGTCGTTTGCCCGCACATTTGGAATGGTTCTCAAATATCATGGTTGTCAGGCTTTCAATTAACAGGTCTGCTCTTGCCAGTGGAAGCTCTGCATTTCAGCTCATCAGTTGTAGTAAATGATGCCTTTTTCTCCATAATAGCAATAGAACCTTATAATTTCCCAGCTCTCCGAGATCACATTTGTTGTTTTGTGTGCGGGAAAGAAACCAAATTATATGTTTAGCAGAATATGAGAAATGGCTCATAAGATGTCTTAGTTTGCAGCTTGTAATTCATCTGCTATTCCACTGTGATACCCACATATTTAGAACCAACGGCACGAGCAAAGATACGGTCAATTTCTTGACCATATTTCATAACTACACACTGAAACAAGCTCGAAGTGAAGTGCAAACAAGCACTGAAATTATGTCATTTTACTCACTGCAGGTATGATGAAATCCCCAGTTTCCTCAGCCGCCGGGATGCCTCCGCCTCCAGCGTGCAGTTCGTACAATCCAAATGTCCAGCAGAATGGCGCTCATCCACAAAGGTAACGATGAATCTTCTCTGATATCAACACAAATAGGTGAAGAATGCGTAAAGGAACTCTGAGAAGTTGTTAGTTTACTTTGCTCAACTGCATAAGGAAAAAGTAAAGGTGATGATATCCCTTATCTTCTTATTGATAAAATTGTCTGAACAGATTATTTCAAAACAGCAAAGTTTACAGGCAGCTGTGCTGCTCATTCTACTGACATCATGCAGCTTGAATAAAATGTTATTAGCAGCTTTTATATATGAGACCACTACCTGCTGTAACTGTCCTTGTACTCCTCAGGTACCCTGCTCCACCAGCTGTATCTACTGCTTATGGACAACCCCCACAGCTCCCATACAACAGCATGGCCTCACCTGCCCCGCCTTCAGCACAACAGCTCACCAATCAGATGAGTGCTATGAATATGGGCGGCTATGGTAAGTTTGCTTTTTACAAATTTACACTGCTTCTCATCCTACAGCAACATATGTTCAATTTCTGGAGGATTATGGATTTCTACATGATCCATCAATGGCTACATAACTAAATTATTACCTTTACTATAGCAGTTCTACAATTAATATATTGTTGCAACTTTCCTCTTTTCGTAGCCCCAGGGCCCATGCAGAGCCCTCCTCCACCAACAGGCTCTGTAGCCCCACAGCCTTTCCAGGTGCCTCCTCCACCAGCGATGGGCCATCCGCAGATGCCTCCTGGCCCGCAGTTAGTCCACTCATCCCAGCAAATGCCCCCTCATATGGCTCCACCGCAGTCACCCCCAGGGAGCATGGCAGGCATGGGCAGACCTTTTCCCGGCCCGCCGCCTCCAGGCCCAGGAGGTTTTCAGCAGCCTGGTCCTGGACCCACTGGTCCACCAGGATACCCACAGCAAGCTGGTAACTCAGACTCTGCCACCAAACAAGAAATGTGTCCTTGTTTATTATAGTCAGATTGTTTTAGTTACTTGTTAAATTAGTTGCAGGGCTGTTGATACATGGTCAAAGTAGTAGTGTGTCATGATGTGTATTTTTTTTTTTCAGGTTGCTCTGCACAATAGAAAGTTTTTGTTTGTCAAATAGTTCTATAAACCAAAAGGATGACAGGAGAATAAATATTTGTCTTTCTGGTGAAGATGAAAACATTATCTCATGGGTGGTATTTGAGCGGTCAGATCAGAACTTATTCTACAGCTTACAAACAAAGCTTCATACTTCATCTTCATACTTTACAGTTAAACTTCTCTAATAGCCTGGATGTCTTGTGTCAATGTGCAGGTCAGTTTGGGGGTCACATGGCTGGGCCCCAGCAGGGCATGCCAGGGGCCTTCCCTGGAACACCGGGCGCACTGGCTGGCCCACCGCAAAAGAAACTGGACCCTGACTCGATCCCAAGCATAGTGAGTTGACAGCTAATCCTCCGGGGACCTCCTTCACATACCAACATACCACATATGTCATACTACATGTTCTGTCCTAAGCTAGTGGCTTATAAAATCTTCAAAAGATGCTTGACAAAGGCATGTACTGTACATATTGTCTTTTGTTAACATTATGGGTTGTTTTCAATCATTTTTATTAACTATATTTCAGGTAATGGGATAATAATAAAGGAAATGATCTAGATTTACAGAAAAATGGTTGGTGATCAAAGAATGTCATGGAGCTGCATTAATTACATTTTCATTTAGAAATATGGTATTTACATATTTTACATAAAATTTGTTTTAGACCCAGATCATTCAGGACGACCAGGCCAACCAAGGAGGACAGGTCTTCAGCACAAACATCAGAGGACAGGTTCCACCTCTGGTCACCACTGACTTCACAGCACAGGACCAGGGTAACCAAAATAACACTTCAAACCTCTCTAACTTTGTTTCACTACACATTATTAGGATAAAATTTAGCACAGACAATGATCACATGTTGTGATATAGATCTCTATATACGTTTTGGGCTACAACTGTTTGATTTCATAGGGAATATTCACTCTAAATTTGTATTCTTGTCTTTCATTTATGTTGCATTCCCAACTTCATTTAATCTGACCTACCAACATCTATGCTCATGCTTACACCTTTGCAGAAACCTCACTAGTATAACAGTAGACATATTGACCATGTTGTTGCAGAGATATACTCTTCTAAAGATTCAGGGTAGGATTGTAATGTAGGATTTAGTGACATCTAGTGGTGGAGTTGCATTTTGCAGCTGCATACCTGTCACCTCACCCTCCCCCTTCCAAACATGAGAGAACCTGAGGAATCCTTCAGTTGTCATAAAAACTCAAAAGCTGTTTAGTTCGTCCAGGTTGACCTCCTGTAGGAAAACATGGTGGCCTCTGTAAAGAGGACCCGCTCCCTATATAAATATAAAGGGCTCATTCAAGGGTAAAGAAAACAACAATTTGTACAATTTAGGAGATAACACTCAAGTGAAAACATTATTATGATTATTTTTATATTCAGTTTCCACCAAGAGCCCTTTAACCTAAATCTTACACACTGGACCTTTATTGGTCAGGAATTTTAGTCATGTCATTTTCGATTTTTAAAGCACTGGATATTTGTAAATGATGGTAATCTGTTGCAAATGTAGGTGAAAATCCTTTCATTTCTATTGATACTTAAAATGTCTGTGTTTTTGATAAAAGTTGAGCACATCAGGTTAAATTGTTTTCATGTTGAATGTGGTAAATACTTTAAGTTCAAGGCTTTTACTTATATCTCCTTGAGGATTATAAATATTAACTATTTATTTTTACAATACATTTTAAATGCAGAACTAGGTGAAAGGACTCATTCAACTATGTGCTCAGTGATAATATCAAGGCCATTGACCGTTGTTTTTGCTAATCCCAGGCAATGCCAGTCCCAGGTTCATACGCTGCACCACCTACTCTCTCCCCTGCACGGCCGATCTGGCCAAGCAGTGCCAAGTGCCCCTGGCTTGCGTCATTAAACCCTTTGCCACTTTGCCAAAGAATGAGGTAAGTTGTGGATTTATATATATATAACTTGTATAACTCTATATATAGCATCTCCAATCACATGTTCAATTAGATCAACAATACATAATCACTTTCTAATAAAATCATATTGACCTCATGCCACATTGTCCTCCATGTTCAACTCTTGCAGGGAATGATAAATTCTAATATATGCCAGTGTCTCGACAACAGATGGAGATTTGTGGTGGTCAACCTTGTGTTAGAAGTGTCCACTAAATTAAGCTCTTTGATAGATGTCTCTTGGTACTACAAAAGTTAATTTGTCCGGTGAATGACCCTGCTGTTGGATCATGTGTGGTCCAAGAATCCTGTCTTAGATACTTTCCCCCTACACTCACCATGTCCCAGGAACCAACTGGCCTTTTTAGGTAATGTTGGCTTTCTCTCATCTGGCTTAAGGCTAATTAGCTAATGTCAGATCTGCAGGGACCACTAGAGAAGAAAGGAGGTTTTATACAAAAGCAATCAAATGTAAGTGTATCGTACTTTTTTGATTTGCTTCCAGCCATGGAGCAGATTCCCACCAGAAATATAAGAGTGAAACTAAATCCCAACTGAGTTTGTTATACTCAAAGGAGCATGATTTTGTGTTTGGATGTTCAATTGATTGATTTATCATCCACCATATTTTGTTTACTGCACCGAGTAAACAGCTCTTAGATACTGTAGTGGTTCTACATGTGTGTTATGGTATTTCATTTCGGTTGAAGCAAATATTTTCAATTTATATTGTGTCAAACCACACAGGGAACTTTAAATAAAAAGTCTTACACAGTGTTTGGTTGGCAAACTGTACTGTGGTATACATTAAACAGCTTCATGCTCAACATTCTTACTCCATAAGAGACAAATGTTGTGTATATGAAAGTGCAGTGTGTATGGTTTGGGTGCCATGGAATCAGCGATGCTTGAGACAGAGCAGAATTCAGTATGGTCCATGTATGGTAAATGTTGCATTGCTGAAAACATGGGCAGCATCACAAGAAATAAACCATTCAATATAATCTGTGTATCTGACTTGGTTTTCTGTACATGCTGAAGTATTTTGTTTAGTCATCGATTTCCTTTTAAAAAACACAGAATTAATTTGGTTGAGTACTTGATTAGAACTTATTGTGTACCTGTCTGTGTGTAGACTCCTCTTTATGTTGTGGACCACGGTGAGACAGGCCCCATCCGCTGCAACCGATGCAAGGCCTACATGTGTCCCTACATGCAGTTTATCGATGGCGGTCGTCGCTACCAGTGCTCTTTCTGCAACTGTGTCAACGAAGGTACAGTACTACGCAAAAATTGTATTTCGTCCTAAAGATTTAGGCAGAAAAAGAAAAGAAAAATTTAGTACATTTAAATAACAAAAACTCTATGAATACTGTATATTATGCAAACGTCGTGATTCATGTATTTTGTTGTCTTACCCCAGTGCCAGTCTTCTTCTTCCAACATCTTGACCACATGGGCCGTAGGGTGGACTTCTACGAGAGGCCTGAGTTGTCCTTGGGATCCTATGAGTTTACAGCCACCATGGACTACTGCAAGGTACAGCACTTCTCAATTACCATTATAGAGTGCATTAAATAAACAGTAGAGACACAAGTCCATGAATTCAGGCTGTGTTTGATGATTTCACACAGAGAGCGCCATATAAAACTTTCCTCAGAAGTTTGTCTTTTATGCACTGAAACAAACTAAAAAAAGACAGACACAAATCAACTGTGTCCCCATGGAGGCTGCGGCTGTTGAGAACAACATCAGAGGGTCAGAGTACATTGGCAAAGCTGAGTCACTCGACTGGCCTACTTTTTGCTCTGTTTATTAAGACTTATAAACACTCTCTGTAGGCCAGTGATTAAACAAAAGCCTGCAAGGTGAGTGTCTTGTCATGGCTCGTAACTGTGGAAACATAACAGGGTCTTACTGACACACACACACCACTGCCATTAACCTCTGTTGAGGAGTTCATACCGAGCACAGCCTTCTTACAGCTACACCATATAATTAGCAAACATAAATGAAAGCACCTCTGGTTTTTAGGGAACTAATTACAGAAACTTAAGGTGGAAGACTCCAGACCCTTAAAAACAGAATTCAGGAATAAAAAGAGTAATAATTTGTTTGTACCAGACACATTTTGTTCCTCATTTCATTTTGAAATAAGGTTTTTTATCCTGCATGCCTGTCAAGTCAAAATTAACTTCACCCTCTACCTTCATCTCCCGCAGAACAACAAGCGTCCAAATCCTCCTGCCTACATCTTCATGATTGACGTGTCCTACAGCAACATCAAAAGTGGCCTGGTCAAACTGATATGTGATGAGCTGAAGACTCTACTAGACAAGCTGCCCAGGTACACGATAACTCAGAAAAGCACACACTCATTCACACAGCACAGGGAAAAAAACTATATGTGCTTTATACTTATACCTCTTTTACACCAAAATGAGTGGGTATACGCAGGTTTTAAAAACACGCTTAAAGGGCGATTAACTCCTTAACTTATCTTTTCCCTCGGTGAGTCATGTTTGATTTTTTGAATGCACTGAAAGCTGAGAATTCTTGTCACCTCCCTGTTTTTCCAGAATTAGCACAATCACCATATTCTCAAGAAACTGCACCATGATCTGTTTAAAATGCAGAACCGTATGCCGTTCACTCTCAACACCCACCTTGCCAAAATAGGACATCCCTCAAGTCCTAAACATCAAGCCAACTATTTGTTCTCATCAGCTGAATATTCCTGCATGACGTTTAGCAGATGGTCGGTATCGGTTGAGGAGGGCGCCACGGCTGCCAAGAACGGAAAATATTATAGTGCAGGCATGAGATAGAAAAACAAAACAAAACAAAAAAGAAATTGCTGTACAGATGGCTCCGCTATTTGTGGTAACAGTTATTCCGGAAGTGAGATTTTTGATTGATCGTGGCAGGAGAAGATGATTTACTCCACCTGGTTCTTTCTCTTTGCTTTATTAACACCGGCAACAATATTTCTATATTTGTGTGATACCATGACATCATCTCTTCAGCTGCATTTGAATCTTCTCTTTTGTTTTTACAGGCCCTAAATTAAAGACGCTGCATTTTTATATGCTTCGTACAATTCTGCAGTGTTTGGCAGGTTCACTCAAAATAAAGTAAATGCAGGTTAAAGTAAATGCAGATGTAGAACAAGGCATGTAGACTTTTTTTTTTCATTGTTGGTATTTCTAATCTCTATCTGGCATTAGAAAGGATAACATAAAATCTGAGTCTATTATTTCCAACAGCACCCATGACTAATGTTCACATAGGGGTCTGGGATCACAGTTAACCAGTGGCATACGTTCTGCTCCGAACCACATTACATGTTCCCTGGTGCGTCTGCATGATTTAAGTAGAGCGGCTGACAAACTGCAGTTGGCAGTGTCAGCGAGGAATGCTTTTAAATGACTGTGATGGTGAAGAGTTTTGATGTGTGGAGCTGGTTCAGCGTAGCTACCAGTTCCACACCTGGATCCAGAGAGTTCTGGTAAACATCACAGTTTTTATTCTTACTGTTCATTATTGTTTGCGTTATATGTAGCACCGATACACAAAAGCCAAAATGAAGCGTACTATAGATCATATGCTGTATCTTTATATGCAGTCTATATAAAGATAGTATGTATAATGATAAATCTATCGCAAGTTGTAATAGTGAGAAACAGAAAGAGCAAAAGAAAATAGCAAGCATGGGTCAATGGGCATAGTTGTTTTCTTAATAAACCAAAAATTACTTGGACATGGAAACACACTAATAAACAAGTCCATATGAGATGTTCTTTATATCCTGGAAGGATGTTTATACTTGACAATGTACCATGGCTGGGAAGTTGATTTTTTTAATAGCTGAAATGGTGCTTGAAAGTCATGTGCAAACCAGATTTTTATCTTGTGTCTTCTCTTGCTTTAAAGTGCCAGTTTCACCACATCATTCAGCTTCTATTTTTACTGTTAAGTTGCATTATTGCAGGAGGAATGACAGTAGATTCTTGTCTCGGACTAATTTGAATTTATACATAAAATAGAATAAACATTTCAAATGATGTTCTAGAAAACACTCTGAAGTTCAGACGCTTGTCTCTTCTCCCTTACCAGAGAGGAAGGATTGGATAGCTCGGCGATTAAAGTGGGCTTCGTCACCTACAACAAGGTCCTCCACTTCTACAACGTGAAGAGCGCTTTGGCCCAGCCCCAGATGATGGTGGTTTCAGACACGGAGGAAGTGTTCGTCCCGCTACTTGACGGCTTCCTCGTCAACTTCCAGGAATCGAGGGCTGTTATCTGCAAGTGAGATGCAACTCATTGTTAGTTTGTGGAAAAACTGTTTATTTTCATGTTGAGAAGTTGACATGTTAGGCCCAAAAGTTTGATCCAGTTTATTTCTATACAAGTTTTACTTTTTGCTTCAAGGTTTTCTTTTAAATACTATGAATTTCAGGCGAATTGCTGAGCAAGCCATAATAACCCTGTCCCTTTGTCTGCAGCCTCCTGGACCAGATCCCTGACATGTTTGCAGACACCAACGAGAGTGAAACGGTCTTTGCTCCTGTCATCCAGGCCGGCGTTGAGGCATTTAAGGTCAGCAACACTGTGACATCTGTCAGCATGAAGTGGAAGATTGGGAGGCTACAGCAACCTCCTTGAACTATGAGAGGCTGCTGTAGGTTTAGATGTGGAAGAATTCTATTAAGTTGAAAATCTTTTGTTAATTGTGTCTCTTTGCTCATTGATCCCCATAAAATGTACCAAAGCTAGAACAGGTAATGGTGTGTTTTTCCTGAAAAGGTCATTTTAAATCTGAACAAAAGACAAAAATACACTGAAACCACCCCCACAAGATTGTTTCAATTTGTCAAAATATATCAGATATTGTATTGTAGACAATGCCAACATCGGCACTTTTGTCTGAACTCGATTCAGCAAGTTTCTTTTTCCTGATGTTTGTGTTTACTTTCAAGTCCAGTAAACTTTCCCAGTGATATGAGGTCAGTGTTTGGCGCACACCAAAGGAAACATTCTCACAGCTTTTAATTGGAAACAGTTGTGATATTACACACTAGCAAATAGCCTTGTTTATTTTGTTATGCCTCTAGTTGTTCACATTTTAATAATAAACAGTCAGAGTAATGCACACGTCTTTATCTTCTCTATCAGTTTATTTGGCAAGCACAAGGTAATGCTCTAAAAATAACTGATTTTCATTATTAGAATAATGTGATCTTTTGAAGGATTTCAGTTCTGCTTCTCCTGACTTCATGATTTCACTCTATTGCTACAAACAACCCATCAGGAGAGAACACACTACACACCTTAGTTCGACCTCCTTTTGGAGATCTTTTATCTTATCCCTCTCTCGTCACTCTGCCACCTCCAGGCTGCAGAATGTAGCGGAAAGATCTTCATCTTCCACTCCTCCATGCCCACCGCTGAGGCTCCTGGTAAACTCAAGAACAGGGATGACAAGAAGCTGGTCAACACAGACAAAGAGAAAGTGAGTAGTTTTGATTTTTGTGTTGAGTGAACTTGACTGAAGGAACGTTTTACTATAACCTACAAAAAATCTGAGGGGACTGCTGACTTACCCAGCAGAATCGTCTGTTTTCTCATAGACCCTGTTCCAGCCTCAGAAAGGAGTGTATGAGCAACTGTCGAAGGACTGTGTGGCACAGGGCTGCTGCGTGGATCTCTTCCTCTTCCCCAGCCAGTACCTCGACTTGGCAACCATGGCTGACGTGCCCACGCACACCGGAGGCTCCGTGTACAAGTACAACAGCTTTCAGGTACTGGATATGGGAGGCACTTTGCAGAATACAGTATATGGACAAACATTTTTTTCAGTTACTTCTTGAAAGTACCATACAAATCGATTATTTCACAGACAGGCAAATGCATCTGCAGCTTAATAAAATCTTTCTGTGTTCACATAATAACTGGCAGTCTAATATAACTGCCCCAAAGGAATAGTGAACTAAGCATGGGAAACCACTTCAAACTGTACAACCACACCACAGCCTCAAGCAATACTGTTCTGTTGAACACACATAGTCTAAACAAACACTGACATGCTTCATTAATAACACTGCAGTGTATGCATTAGACATAAAACACTCTTACTAAGAGCAACAGGATTTTAACACCCGACAAATTTATATTCATTTATATTTCTTACTTTTGTCCAGAATGACGTTTCAGTAAAGCTTTTCCTGGTATTAAATTAAATTACTTGTACTGAGGTTAATTTATGAGTCAGCGTGGTCATGCTCGTTATTTGACAATACTGCCATCTGCTGGTTAGAGCTTATGCACATCACATGGAAGACTTGCTGCTCACCCAGGTGCACTTCCTCTTTCCAGGTGGAGACAGATGGGGAGCATTTCCTGAGAGACCTAAGAAAAGACGTGCAGAAGAATATTGGATTTGACGCCATCATGCGTGTTCGTACCAGTACAGGTAAGGAACAGTGCAGGATTTTCCATCGGGTGTTTAATAAGACAAGATAATCCTTGTACTTTAAAGTTTGTCTTTCCTGTACTTTACATGTTTCTGCCTTCAGGCTTCAGAGCCACAGACTTCTTTGGTGCCATCCACATGAACAACACCACAGATGTAGAGATGGCGGCTGTGGACTGTGACAAGGCCTTGACTGTGGAGTTCAAGCACGACGATACGCTCAGTGAGGAGACCGGAGCACTCATGCAGGTATGTTATGTGTCTTTTTCCTTCTGTCTGTCAGAAATGAACTCTCCAGGGTCTGCTTCTAACTTCGGTCTGCCTTCCATTTCCCCCAGTGTGCCTTGCTGTACACCACCATCGGCGGCCAGCGACGCCTGCGCATCCACAACCTCAGTCTGAACTGCAGCTCGCAGTTGTCAGAGCTGTTCAAGAGCTGCGAGACTGACTCGCTCATCAACTTCTTTGCCAAATCAGGTGACTGTCCTTTTACATTTCATGACAAAAAGGAACTAAGATAGTTTCCCCCAAACAAATAACATCATTTTGTCTTTCAGTTCAAGTTTGGATTTAAAGCACAGATTTTTTTTTACGCTAAGGCCAAATGCTCTAATTTCCATCTTATGATCTATGAACAGTCGTTCCTATAGAGTGAGGGGTGTAATGTAGTGCAGACGTAGCCCGCTGATGCACAGCTAATGCTCACTGACTTCCGAGGAGAATGAATGAGCTGTGAAAGTAAGGAACACATGTTTCAGATTAGGAACAGATAACACATAGCCCGCCATAAAACCATAATCCTGACGTTCTGTTGCCTCCTTTCACTCGTCCTGCTACTCTTCACCTCCCTGTGCACCTCTTCCACTGCCCAGTGTTTTTTCCATAAAATCCTCCTTTTGCGTTTTATTCCACTTTCTTACTTTTTTTCTTCCCCATTCCCCCTCTCTCGTATTTGAACTGTTTTTCCGTGCCCACTCAGCTTACCGTGCCATCTTGAACCAGCCTCTAAAGAATGTGAGGGAGATCCTGGTCAACCAGACAGCCCACATGTTGGCCTGTTACAGGAAGAACTGCGCCACCCCTTCCGCCGCCAGCCAGGTCAGAGCAGAACCTGTAATGCAGGTTTCTTTTTAAGTCAGGCTTTGATTTAACATCACAACAAGACATGTTTAGGTTTGATCTCTCTGTAATTGTAATTTTTTTAAATATGTGTGTCCATATTTAGCTGATCCTGCCTAACACCATGAAGGTGTTCCCAGTCTACATGAACAGCCTGATGAAAACAGCCCCCCTGGTGGGCAGCACAGAGCTCTCCACAGACGACAGAGCCCATCTGAGGCTGTCGGTCATGGCCATGGGAGTGGAGGACACACAGCTGCTGCTCTACCCACGCCTCATCCCACTGGTGAGGGTACCATACATATTTAGAGACACTAACTTTGGTTTCCTGCTTGTTTATCAGTCATACTTTCGAGATAAGGCCATGCATATTCATTTATCTCAACCTGAATATTCTCTTAAATAAGTAATTTAATGCTTTTTTAATTTTTTAAAATGTCAGACGCTGTTGAAATCTAATAATCGGTGTTTTTTCTTTTTTAAAAGCACAACGTGGACATTGGAAGTGATGCTCTGCCCGCTCCGGTGCGCTGTTCAGAGGAGTCTCTTGCCGACTCTGGCATGTTCCTGCTGGAGAACGGCCACTCCATGTTTCTGTGGTTCGGCCAAGCAAGCCCCCCTGACCACGTCCAGAGCATCTTCAACCTGCCCTCCCTCGCCCACCTGCAAGGAAACATGGTCAGAATGAATTTAAATAGCACTTAGATCTCATACACACTTATAAACCAAATAAAACAGTACCTGCATTTAGAGGTATTGGATGAGACATGTTCTTTGCTCCGTGGTGCCTGGAGGTATTTAAGTATAGTGAGATAATGTCTGGATGTTCAGGGTAGTGTGCCTCGGAATTACAATCTTAGTTTTGACAAAATCCACCCGTCATATCTCAGCAAGTTGAATTCATACAATAAAAAACATTTGATGTACTGAACTGCTTCACATGTGTAACCTGTAAAGTGTTCCACACTGATGAAGTCACCAATAATTCAAAAATATGTAAACCTCGTGCAGAGTTCAAACAGAGACATTCATTGCCCAGACTAAAGTAAAACATGTTTTGGTCCACGGGGGAAAGGAGGTGGAAAATCATTAACAGTGTTTGAAGTTAAGTCAAAACTTATTTTCCATCCTCAAATTTAAGATATTTGAATTTTTGTGAACAAACCTTGAGATTGTGTTTTTCAGGTTTCGCTGCCAGAGCTGGACAACCCACTGTCAAAGAAGGTCCGATCTATCATCAATGACCTGCTTGAAAAGAGGCCAAACTCCATGAAGGTAAGAAAACGACTATTGTCCAATAATTGTAAACCAGCAATTGAGTTATTAAGATTTCATCACTCAGTTAAAGACAAAACACTTTGATCGAGGAAAAAGATAAATACTATAGAGCTTTTCCATGACCTCTGCCTCCCTCTAGTGGAGTTAGTATGGAAATACATAAATAGCCTCAAGGACCCATTCTTTACCCAAAGCACAATTTAAGGATCCATATTTGAACCACATCAAGTTTGTCAGATGTCAACAATGCATCTTATATTTTCTTATGTCCATACTGTCCACTTGTGACTGCATTTTAATTGGAATCTATTTCCTCCTCACTCAGCTCCTCATCGTGAGGCAGAAGGACAAGCCAGAGGTGATGTTCCGTCAGTTCCTCGTGGAGGACAAGGGTCTGCACGGCGGCGCCTCCTACATGGACTTCCTTTGCCACGTTTACCGGGAGATCAGGCAGCTGCTCACTTAATCTTTCCTCCTCAAGCATTCCCATCCAGACTGACCGGGTAGAAACACAGGATCTAATGGACCGTGCACAGATCTCACAGGGTCAGATCGTTTGAAATTGTCAGGACAGTGCTTTCTAAGCATTTTATAAAAAAGACCGAAGAGGGAACAAGGATCCAGGAGATTCAACCTCCAGTGTCCACAGCTGCCTTTCCTATACACGGTATGATCTCCAAATAACGACTTGTCGCTCAAGGAGCTTCCAAGTAAATCTGTCAGAATTAAATGGACAACACATCTAGTGTTTCCCGCATGGATACTTGGCGTGATGGACAGTGGAGAATATAATATCAGTGCCTGCGGCTGAAATGCATTTTGGCAGAAGGCCCATTGGCATAAGCAATAGAGCATACATCTCCACTGTGTGTTCAAGTTGATTTCAGCCTGTTTTCATTTCACTATGTAGAATTTCAGCGTCTGGATAAAATAAGGGTTTATTTGTAGGTGTTCGCCAGTATTCGTTACCGTCAGATAAAGACTAAATATTTAAAGAATTCTAAGAGCCTCATTTTAAAATATTAATTTCATTTAAACAATTTCGATTTTGTCCTGCATTTTTATCATTTCTTGTTTAAAATCAACTTTCAGTCGCAGTTATTTCATCATGAAGCAGAAACATTGGCAGAATAAAGTGTTTTTCCCGTCATCACACCATGAGTAATGAAAAGCATTTGATTCGCACATGCCCCCAACCAAAGAAAAAAAGAAAAAAAAGATTCTTTGACCTTTTATGGCCGACTTGATCTTCTCAATGTGCAGTGACGCAGAAACTGTTGATGTGGTGTTCTGAGATTACAGGGAAATGAACGCAGCTGTTCCTCGACAAAGGAAACAGAGAACTACACTTTTCACTGTAGAAGAGTCAGAATTGGTTGTTAAAAACTAAAACCATTTCAAATTGTATCGGGTTAAAGGACTTAACACGATGCCCAGGGGCCCAGGGGGGTGACAGGGGCCTGATATCTAGCTTTTCCCTCAAACTGCCACATTAAACTGTTATTTATTCTTGTTGAAAAGATTTATTTTGACAAACACTCACAAGCAACTTACAATAATATGAAAAAACAGAGTCAGCAATCTAAAAATCTTCTGTCTGGACCGACAATCAGACTTCAGCTCATGGTTCAACCTCCCAAATGTAGTCACTTAGATTTATCACCCTAATAAACATGTAAGATTTTATAGTAAATGAGTTTCAGTAGTTATATCATAGTTAATTGCCTTGCTTGTTTTTTTTTTTATACCGGTTAATTATTTCTTTGTAATGCAGATTCTTCATTTGATAAATATCGGACCACCTTGTGTATGTGTGTGGCCCACGAGGCCTTTTTGTACATTAATTGCGCAACTTGTGTTGTCAAAGATATTCCTATCTGCCTTAAGTTCGTATAATACATGTAGTTTGACAAATCTATGTTAAAATGTATATGTCCTTTTGACGTCCACGGCTGATTTAAATCCATCATCAGTATTTGGTTTTATATGCAAACGTATCTCAGGTAATTTCAGTACCTTTCCATTTTTAGCTGGAAGCAGTGATTTGAGTTTAACTGGAAAGATGAATGTCCTGAGTTTTGTTGGAGTGGAATTGTGGGAAATGATGGATTGGCCTACCCTGTGCATTCATTCCAAACCCGAAAGAAAACTTTGTCTTATTAAATCTTTGCTGTTGCACAAACTGTTGCTCACATTTTCTCAACATTGACACCTGTAGTTTGAGATCAATGATAAAAGCTATGGATCTCGAGGTAAGAATAAGTTCTCCTGACGTCATCGGATGAGCTCTATGACCATAATTTAAACATGCAAATTGCTGACTGGTGGACATTTAAAATTAAAAACCCATTGCACACTATCCAATAAACATATAAAAGTAAAACTACAAAGACCTGATCTTCAATGAGCAATAATCTTGATGTTTTCTTTAATTTCTCCGAATACAGCAAACATACACAAAACATCTTTAGTTGTAGAATTTATTTTGTCTGTTAAATCCAGTCCAATTGGCAAAAACGATTTTGCCTCAGCATGTGTTATCTTCTTGTCAACACAAGGGGGCGCCAGACAACTGCTCTTCAGTCAGACCCATTAAAAGAACACATCCTCACACATGCTCTGCTCTTATTGGGTAATAAACTACTTCTAGGTTCATGGACGAGCATACAAAAACATTTCTGATAATACAGTCGAGGAACCGTTTCAATCAAACCCACCAACTCCACATGCACTATCATAAGAAATGCACAGCCGAGGAAAAGCTGCTGCCAGATCGTTGTGGTCTCGTGAGATCTTAATGTTTTGTCTATTTGTATGAATAAATACTGTGTTTGGACCTATCACAGTACTACAAAATACTCTCTAAGTCAAACACCGAAGTGTGTGATCAGCGACTCGGATGCTTTGGATCCTATTTACAGAAGAAATGTAAAAATGTCTTACAATTATCTTTTTCAGAAAATAGTATCTGCATCCGCTGGGATGTTTTAAAAGTGAGTTGTATCGTATAGGGATTCCCCCCCTCCCCTATTTTTAATACAGTAACGTACCGAGAATAAAAACATGAACTTACAGTTTTACAAACAGCAAGGCACACAAACACAAATAAACAGAAAGTCAGGTGGAGGTTATTTCGTGATGGAAATATACACATCATCTCCAGAAACACAAGTGAAGAGAATACAGTCGGGTAGAATGTGCCGTTTTCTTTTGAATTAATGAGCCAACATGACTTTTCTTTAAGTTTGTCACCTTGATTTCTGCTCATACAGAGGAATGATATTCTGTGTTAATCCTCTAAATGAAAAACATGATGAATCAAAACATCGACTACGTACAAACCGATCATCAAGTGTAACTCAGATTTGCGGCTGCAGAAAGAAATGCCAGAAACACTTTTACTTACATAACTTGTCAGTGATTCAGTAGTTTCCAATGAGCGAGACGCAGTCAGTGAACTCCTACCCAGCTTGCCTTGTGTTTTGCACACATTTGCGGCCAATCAATGCTTTAATCAAAGGCAGCAGGGACCAATCAGGCTGAGTGGATGCGGGGCAGCTGGACTCGAGAGTTGGAAAGCAGCAGGAACCCGAACATGACGAGTATAATCCAAAGTTTGTACCGACGAACCAAACCACCTGCAGTTTTTCTAACAGTGAATTTTATGAACAGGTCTAAAAGTGAATGTTCATTTTAATTCTGTACAACTGACAGTGTTTTTATACAACTACCAAAACACCATATAAATAACCGAACACTCCTTAGTGTTAACTCCTCAACAGTGCTTCCAAAACTAAAAAGAAAAAAACCTACTGATAGATGGTTTACTTTACAGATCATATACATACACAGGGTTCAATGAAATACACTGAAAGCAGCATTTATTTCATGATCAGAGAGAAACGCCTAATGCAGCTACCTGTGTGCTTCTGTGGACAAACCGTCCGTGTCATGGTCCGATTTTGACATCAATATCCTTGTGTTGTCTCATCCTCGTTGGCAAGTAAACATGAACTAAGTTTCTCATAGAGTTCGTGTATATATATATATATATATTTAACTTCACCTGTAGTATATACAATTTGAAATGGTACATGGTGTGTGTTTTTTCTCTAAATGCGTCCTTCAAAAGAGCAAAAAAAACGAGACCACAAAGGAACACTCTGGAATCAAACACCAGTCTGGAATGTTGAAATATGATTTCCTGTGTGTTTTCTTTTGTTTTTCTCGTGATGCTGTTAAAAGTCACAGTGATTTCACTTGGCAGGACATAAAACAAGTCAAAGCTGCGAAGGATGAAAAAAACAAAACAAACCCCAGACCCTCCTTATTCCCAGTGTGTTTATAATATTGAAGGCTAACACAGTTTACAGACGCCGGTGAATAGAAAGAAAAAGACGACTCCGGAGACAGATGGTGGAAATAAACCTTGAAGTTGAATTTTAACCGTAGCTGCAGAAGACTTTATTTTTCGTCTTGAATTTTTCCAATATCGCGTTGGAAAGGCAACTGATTCCAGAGTGTTCACGAGCTCCTGCCCGTGGCCCACCGCGACGAACAATAGTTTAGTCTATGATCAAAAGTCTGCATAGCACACTGTACACAGTACGAGTCCAAGTCAGTTATTGGGCCGAGCTAAAGATGGTGTTCTTCTCCGACGCTCGGCCGAAAGCTAGAGAACATTTTCAAAGAGGTGCATTGATCTCATGATGTTTTCATCCTGCAGACAGACGGACACAAAGAGAGAGACATTGTAATGAGAAGCGTGCCAGCAGCAGTGGGAGCAGACGTGTCGGGGGCATCCAGCTTACATTTTGGCAGCAGTCGATGAACTCGTCTATGGTTACCACTCCGTCTTTATTCTTATCCATCTTCTGTTGTCAGAGAGAGGGAGAGAGAGGGAGATGAAAAGTGAGTTAAGTTCTGCTAAAGCCTCTTTACTGTGACAGACGTGGTGTATTCCTGCTCTGAGCTGCAGCAGGCTGCCGGCGCCGCACTCGCCTGAAAGAAAACTTCCACATGCTGACGAGGCGTCTCCTCCTTGAGGATGGGGTATGTGCATTTTCCCATCATGTCGTAGATGGCCTTCATGATGTCCAGCATTTCCTGCGACGCACAGAGGAGGGTCAGTGCACGCACATGTGGTGTTCGAAAAAATCACAGGGTGAGATTGTGAGCAGGTGTAAACAGGAAGTGAAACCAAGATTTACCTTTGACCTTTACGTCACTAAAATTCAACCTGAATCGTTTTTTATTATTCCCGTCATCGTTTGTGGACGTCGCTCCTCTTTTTCAAATGTCATTTTTACATTTCTGTTACCAGCAATTTGTTGGTCAGTCCATCGCTTTAGACTGAAATATCACAACAGTCATTGGATGGATCACCATGACAACGCACGACATAAAAGCTACAGCATAGACTACAAAAAATAGACCACTCCTCTTTCTACCGCTATCCAGAAATGAAGCCCAAATATCCAAGATACAAACGCCACCATGCTGCACATTTGGAGCCAGTAAACTTTACACTCAATAAATAAAAAGGTAATTAAGAATCATCAAGAATGATCAAATATACACATCTGTCATTGATTGATTTTTCAAATATCAGTTTTCGAAGGCAGAGATCTGTGCATCTGCTACAAACCACCAGTGTGAAATCTAATTGCATGGCTGGCTCTTATCAGGGCTGTGTAGAAGAGCTACCTCTTATCATCAGCGTTTGAAGGGTCGTACCTCTTTGGTGATATATCCGTCTTTATTGATATCATAGAGATTGAAAGCCCAGTTGAGTTTTTCTTGGACGGTGCCTCGCAAAAGGATAGAGAGGCCCATGACGAAATCCTGCAGCAACGACAAGAGCGGATGTTAGTGTGAAATATACACATTTATCACATAAACAATACAATACAATAAATAAAATCAATGAGTCCCAACAATATGTGGAATCTCGTGTGATTTCATTACATTTTGCAGCGATATGATGTCGAGTATTAATTAGGGCCGAATGACGAAACAGCAAGAGAGCAGACGCTGTAAATTAGAACAACTCATTATTCACATTATTAGCCGTCTCGTAATCTGCCTTCGCCTTGGGGGAAATCCTCGGCACTTTTCAACAGACGTTAGTTTGTGAAGCTCTGGTTTGGGGTAACGACAGGTTTTCTGTTCGTATAAGCAAATACATGCCCTTCATGAATATTCATCACGTGTTGACGGCATCTCGAGTGGAAACGCTCGGGTTGAATTAACATGATTGCGGTTGCAGGTTATGTAAGGCGGCAGTGGAATGTATTAAGGGGCTTGCATTGGGAAACTGTCGCGTTTCATGTGGAGTTTGAGACGCTGGACAGAGCCTGACCTCTTGAAATTGGTGACATGTCCAACAAAGACGCTAATTCTGGACAATTCGAGGGTCGGTTTCTTTCTCACTGTCTTTCACTGAAGTGATTTTACACATACACACTCACACTATATGAAAACTAAAGCCGTACTTGGTTATACAGGCGCAGGGTTATTGAAGATATTATTAAAAACTATGAATCGCTTGTTTCTGTCAGTTATTTATCTTAACGTAATTTTGCTTTAAGTCATTTTATATCTTTTACAATCGATGGTTCTTATGGCACAGTTGTGTCGCACAAATAACGCTGTGGGTTTTAATGTTACTGATGAAGTGGATCCATGATCTGCATCGCTACTTTCTCATCTCCGAAGTGTTGGTGGGTCAGAGTTAGCGTACGAGTGTAGTGACGTACACACAGAGCAGTTCTGACCAGCGGGCCCCCCACCACAGCGTTGACTCATCCCAGGACGTAGAAAATGTGTTTATTTGGATTTTATTAACATTTAGGTGCATCATGTGACCAAATTCGCCACCGCACTTCCTCGAAACCACAAACTAAACACTTCCTAAAGGTTCTCGAGATATGTGTTCCACATACAGACAGACATTTTGTGGAACTATAAACACGGAGAACATGAAAATCCTCCACTTACCTCAAAACTAACAGAGCCGTTGTGATCCGTGTCAAATGCATTGAACAGGAAATGTGCGTACGTTGAAGCATCTATGAGGAGGAGAAACACACGTCACACTGATGTTCCAACTGCACAGCTGCAAGGACATTTTTTGGAGCTTTTCTAAACAACTTGAGACAGAAACTCATTTTTCTTCTATCATTGTGTGTGCTGAACCATTACACTGGTCTGCCTCCTCTCTTTCCTGACAGATGTATCAAAGCCTCCTAATGTTTTCTGTCCGGCTCCTCGGGTGGAATCTTTGCATAGTGATGAGAACCAACAGTGAGCGAATCACTCTTTCCCCTGTGTCTCCCGCTGTCCCTGCATTTTCTTAGATGGCACTTCAACTTCAAGTACTTCGGCACTTGATGTGAAAGCGTGTGTCAGTCCAGCACCCAGAGGAGATGTGAATTCTGGACCTTTTTAAAAAAAAAAAAAAAAATAAAAAGACAAAGCAACAGGCACAAACCTCCTTGTGGGAAGAACTGCGAGTAGATGTCTTTGAACGTGTCTTCGTTGACGACTCCGCTGGGACATTCCTGCAAGACAGAACAGAATAACACAGGTCATCAGCATCTGTGTTGACGCTTCCCTCAAGTCTTTACATTGGATCAGAGTTTAAGATGTGCCAATCATGCTCCAGTATACAACTTACACAAACTTTAGTTTCAGTGAAGAAGGAGACATCTTGAGGTCTGTAGCCAAAATGTTAAATAATTTAATTTGTATATTCTTGATAAGGGGATTGAAATTGATATTTCACTCGAGCTGTTACTGTTGTAGATGAAATAAATTCAGTATATATCTGTAACTGAATCCTGCTCGGGTCGGTGTTATTAAAACTGCCTCGACGGATGTCTTGTCCACAGCCATTCAAAGTCACCCACTTGTGGTTGCTTGGCAGCATTGAGTGGAAATGACTAGATGCTCTTATGCAACACTTTGAAGAAAAATGCTTTGTGTCTTTTCAGAGTAAAGTGCCATCCAAGCACACGGTGGACGACCTCGCTCAGACCGGCGTGGAGCTGGAGGCAGGTCGTCGTGCAGGTTGAAGTTCTGTGTGGTGCGAGGCTGCAGACATGATACTGAATCTCGAAGAAGAGGGAAACGTTCCTATCACATTTCTGAACCAGCGAGTTTGTGGCTGATGAGAACCAGAGCTGAAGGTGTGAGAAAACAAAGAGGAAACCTTGTTGTCTTGCTTCAAACAGGCAGCTTATGTTTCCTGCCAAGAGGAAGCAAGAGTCTCCTGACGATTCTGTTGTCTCGCACACAGAGTCGCACGTATTGTCGGGTGAGGAGAGGTCAAGAATTTCGGGGAAGTTACAAAAAGATAAGTGATTAGATAAGTTTAAAGGTTTTCTTCATAATTCATAACGGACACAAGTGAGCTGACTCTTCTGGTTTGAACTATGCAATCTGTTTTAAATTCGGATTTTAACATTTTGTGTATCACCACTGTCATGTCTGTATATCAAATACAAAGCTCCTGCTTGTCTTTTTAAATGATAAATGAATCAAACTCTCGACTCATAAAGCTATAATTGAGAAAAACAGAGCAGATCTTTTTTCCGAATTGAACGAGATAATATCCACTCTGTTTTCCCGAATTAACAACTTAATTATCTTTTATTCAGAAAAAACAAAAACACTGTATAAAGCATTGCAACACACTCGTGACATTCTTTCTGCAACGTGAATTGAAAAAAGTTTTCTCAAACACTGAAGTTCCTGCATTTCACTTTGCTTTCACCTTCTGTGCAGTTCCTCTCAAACCAGCACCACCAGGTTAATCACCATGATGAAAGCAACATACAGTTCTAATTCTGCAGTGTGGTATTGTTCTAATGCAGGAGAGGGTGTAGTGACACATTAACACTTTAAAGGTGGAATTAATTGACATTTCAGAAGTAAAATAAAACTGTTTTTGGTGATCTAATAATTTTCCTATGTATAAAAATTACTATGAAGTCAGAAAGTGACACGTTGTCTTCATGAATTAGCTTTTGCAACCAATAAATTAAAGACGTGATCAATAGAGATCAACCAATAATTTGTCAAGTATAAATGATAGATAAATGATGCATTGCCAGACTGGGGAACACAATACTAAAGCCTGTGCAGGGTGTTCATTGCCCCTCTGATGCTTTATATTTTAGCATCCTCTCATTTGCTAATTAGACTCACTCTCCATTTTACTTCAGTGTGTTTGGATCTTATCACTGGGTAATTGGGAATAAACACAAACTTCAGCTGAGTCTGATGGAAATGTCCCAAGGTTCCTATGTTTCTAATTATTGAACATTTGTTTAATCTGTGCACGGAAGTTTGAATATTACACAATTTACAGGGGGGGGTATGTGCTGGATTTAGGGCAGAGTCTCCTTTACTGAATGCTAAACTAAGCGAATCACGTCCCGCCTGAAGCTTTGCATTCATCAAACAGATAGTAGAACTTTCAAATATGATATTCGAGCAGACAGTGCAGAGATGTCAGCACTGGGAGGAAATATCAAATTACATCGCTTCTCAAAGAATAAAGTTTCTCCGCAGAATCTTTGTACATGTGAAACACGACTTTTTGTTTTTGTTTAGCAGAGCTTCTGTTAATTAGAACGCTGTTTACACGGCTGCAGTCAACACACCGTCAGTTCAACACCTTGTGTTAAAGCAGCGTGAGGAGAGTCACGTAACAAAGCAGGGAAAATGAGGAGAGATGTGTGGTTTATACACAGATGGGCAATTACAGCTGTCAGCCCTAATACCCCACTGATGAAGTGGGACAGCAATAAACCAATGGCTTTGTTCCAAGTGGTCTTCTAACCTTGTTAAGTCATCGTCACAAATTTGAAGGAAAAATTAAAGGTCAGTAAAATGTTGCGATTGTTGAAGCAGGCCTCACACCGACAGCACAATTCATCTAATTGCAGTTTATCTCCTCTTGTCAGCCTCATGGTGACATTGGTGCCCGAGGCTGTTTTTCAACTGAGAGTGAAGCCAACGCATAAAACACACTTGATAAACGTCTCATGCTCGAACCAGCAAAAACAGGAAAAGCTTGGAATCAGGACCTCAGTCAAACACTGTTCATTCACATCCAGCTTTTGTTAACATGTTTTGTTGATGAGTAAAATGATCTTATTAAGGACATATAATCATTAAGGCAAAGTGACACGATCACCCCCTGGTGGCTGGCTGCAGCATAGGACATAAATCCCACCTCCTAAATGTCCTAAATGTCATGACAGCTGAAACTGGCTCACGATGGGTCGAGCTCGTGTATCGGAGGGACCTCTGTATCGTGGCTCCACTCCATGATACCATGATCTGGCGCCAAATGAGCAAGATGGCGGCATTTGTGTCCAGAATATTTTGGCTTCATTTCTGGACAGCGGTGGGGGAAGGCTCAGAGGCTCTGCAAAACCCTGACCGAGGTAAAAACAGCAGGCATCCTGCGGTCATGTTGAAATGAAAACTAAAAATTGGAATCAACTGGAATAATATATTGTTATGAGGAAATATGATGTTTGTTGTGCAAAGATAACAAATGAAGCTGCAGTCTTCCACTTGCCTCTGTATGATATTCACTTTTCTAATTTCATCGCCAGGGGCCAGAAAAAATATTTGTATTCATCTGATGTGGTTTTAATATTAGCTCACCCATTTAAATAATATCACACATACAATCTGTGAAATGCAAAACCAGTCGGACGTAAAATTTCTTCATGAGACTTCACGAGGGCGATGCAGCAATAAGCAGAGGGGGGGGGGGGGGGGGGGAATAAACCTGTGAGCAGTGGTATCACCACTGAGAGAAAGTGTGTGAGATCTTAATCTTCATGCCTGAAGCAATGCCCCGCTCTGTGAACTGTGAAAGCCCAGCAGATTTAGCCAGACAGGAAGATATTGCCGTGTTATTTCCTGTAGTCGAGGTTCAAGGACTTTATGAAACAATAGATCCTCTCATACCTTTGGTCTGACCTTTGCTCTAATATCACCATAAGAGCAACACGCAGAGGTCTTGTTCTGGACGTATTGCAAATCTCAGGCAAAGCTCCGCCTGCGCTACAAGCAAATGACTCGTAAAGTTTGTTGTCAAGACAAACAACCTCGGCCTGCCACCTTCGTTCGAGCCATGTGATTTGAATAGAAAACCTTGGACATGAAGGACGAAGGAGCAGGTTTGTCATCACGGGACCGATGCCAGCTTCAATTAGTCTGGCTGGCCTTAAAAGCCTGCCTTTATTCCGTCAATGTCACTGGGTTGGGCTGTTTGACCCTGGCAGGAAAAAAAAATGAGCTGCACTACGGACGTCTGATGGACAAAAGCTTTTTTAGTAGCTGCAACTTAAGCACTATTACTCTTTCTTTGTCCAATTTGGACCTCTGGCTCTTCAGCATCCGTCTAATTACACAGAGGAGACAAGTAACTTTGAATTGAACCAAAGTTTCGCACAATTCATCCTGAGGAGAACTCGGAACGCCTGCAACCAACTTCACTGAAGTCCAATGAAAGCAAATTGCGGTCCAATCAAAAAGTTGTGGGGCGAAGCATCTGGTCGACACAGCTCCCGGCTACATTGCTGAATTGCTCCTCCGCTATGAGCCTGGACGCAGCCTCAGATCCTCATAGGACTTTTAAATCTCCTCTCAACATCCGTCTTTTTAAGAAAGCCTCTCACCAATTCTAGCACACGGTTTAATTGCAAGCGTGTCCTTGGTTTTTTACCTCCGCAGGGATGTTTTCCCCTCTTGTTTGTTAGTTGGCAAGATTACACAAAAACTCTTCCACAGATTTCCATGAAATGTTGTAAAGGAGTGGGGCATGACCCAAAGAAGAACGGCTTAATTTTTTTGGCAGATCTGGATCAGGACGAGGATCCAGGAACCTTAATCCCCAGTTTTTTTTTTTTTACGTTGAATCTTAAATATGGTTGCATGAGATGATGGGAATGTTGGGCCTTGGTAAAGGTACGCACTCTACTGAGAGCTATTCTAGTTTAGTATTTATCATTTATCTTAATTGTCCTATTTATTCATTTTCATATGTCCCTTGTATCTTAATTGCTCGTTCTACCCTTTTTCAGACCTATTAAGCACTTATTCATTTTCTTTTAAGAAATAATCCACAAATTAGCTCTATTACTATTATTATTTTTGAGGTATTTCAGTGGATAAGTTAAAAGTTTGACCTGCTGGTGGCGCTACAGTCATTAGGCTTCATCCTCTCACGAAGTGGGAAGTTTCATGTAAATCCATCCTGTAGTTGTTGAGTAGTTCTGGCTGCACCAAAGCGATGAAGATCCCCAGAGCTGCACGTGCGTCTGGCTAAAAATAAAATCCCAAATCTCTACTGTAAAAAAAAATTAAAAATGGAAGCGTGTACATAAACATGTGAACTAACCACTCCCTCATCGTTAGGAGACAGGCAAAGTGTGTCTGGCAGGAAGTAAAGCCCTCATTAGTGCACCTCTTACTTCTTCGTCTCAAGTGGATGCAGACTAATGGGCAGGCTTTGCAGGGACGTGGCTGGAGCACAGTGCGGGCTCAACAGGAAACTGAGGCCTCATGGGAGTTTCCCTATCACAGGACTCTCGCTGCGCTCCTTTCTTTCTTTCATCGGCACACAATTTGGGTTGAGTTAATTCTGGGTCAGCTCATTACAGCGGGGTGACGACGGAGCGAAGGGATTTTCTCGAGGAGCGTGAACCCGATCGCTCGTCACTTATCTTCCTGAATCGGTCCGAGGTGCCATATGACCTAATTACCCCTGGCACGGTGAACAATGTGCAGAAATTCCTGTTTTGCTGAGGTGAGCACGATTCGCCTTGATAACATTTTTTGCGCAAGATGCAGATGACTCAGCAAAATAGCATTTTATCTTATTGCTACACGAGGAGCAGAGTGGAAGTGGAATAGCAATGAGAGCTGGAGGGAAGGGGAGTTGTTTGAGGGCTCGAGTGGAAACACCCCTGCTGTAAAGGAATAAATCAAATAAAATCAAAGCCAAACAGGAATTCTTTATGTCCAGGAGGGAGAGTGGTATCCAGCGAAGAACAACACCCACAGAGGTGTACATTATATATGGTGCTGAGGCCGTGTGTGTGTGACTTACGTTCTTGAAGCCGCGGTAAAGGATCTGCAGCTCCTTGCGGGAGAAACGTGTCTGGGCTTCGAGCTGCTCCAGGCCCTCGGGACGATGGCGAACTGCGGATAGTTCAAGCTCATCTTCAACGCTATCTGGAGAAGAGGAGGAGGAAGGTCAGGTGTGAGCAGATGCTTCAAGCTTCAGCATTCTTTTTCAAGGCTAGAATTGGAGAAATCCTTCTATTTGCATATGTCACCACACAAAACTGAACAAAACTCAGTGTGGCCCGTTCCTCTAAACACTGAATACAACAGTTGGTATTTTTGAGACCGCAGACAGAGCCTCGTCTTGAAGGAGGGCAGCTGAACCCTGTGTGACACCGTAGAGCCAAGAGACCAAGATTCACCTGCTGCTGTGGAGCTAATGCTTTCAATTCCACAAAAGTTAAGAGATATGTTGAGATATGTTGTGAAATATACAAATATGTATAATTTAGTTTTTGCAAAATGACAAAAGAAATGATCTTTGTATAATAACCCATCGTTTCACATTTTCAGAAAACAATTACAAGAGCTAAATTCTCTTTTACATGCAAAAAATGTATCATTCTGCTCGTGCTCGTTTGATGAAATCCTATATTGAGTGTATTCCCTCCCCTGGTACCAGGAAATGCAACAGAAAGTAAAAGCATCTTAGATAAGAACCAAAGTCATCACCACTTGCTTTCAGTAGTGGACGACAGCTTTTTGGACATGGAGAATGGAAAGAGCCTCATGAGTCGAGCTCTCACGCCGCGCTTGTGGACAATCTGAGGGTAACCTGGGAAATACAGCATTAGGTCTTACCCAGACAGCTAAGTCAAGCCTCAGTGCATTCTGGGAAAAAATCATGCAAGAGGGGAGGGTTGATTAAATATAGACATGAGGCTACAGCTCGTGGTTTGTTCTTCAGGACAACAACAAAGTATTCCGTGCTGCAAGTGAAAATCTGCATCCGGCAGCTCCGAGAGGCAGCAGGAGATGAAATATGTAAAACTGGAAGTAACTAACTTAAAAGTTAAAGTATTCAGTAACTTGAATGCAAGCATACGCATCTGGGGTGCAAGTGCTACAACATCTGTGCAACATTTGCAGTAAGTATTTCTACAAATAGAGTCAGAAAACAATATTTGTCTACATAACTAGCATTGAATAGTTTTACTACATTTATGTTATCAGATCTGTAACAGTAGCCTGCTACACTAACAAGCTCACAATGACAGTGTTGGTGTTAGCTGATAAAGTTTAGAGTTCAATAACTGAGAATGGATTTTTAGGGAGAGATGCGGATACTGATATTAGGGAGTAAGACGCATTTTAATACTGATTATAGATAATTATATAAATATTATATCTACTAAAAATAATATAATGTAATTCAACCATATGACAAAGAAATATTTTAAGGTTTCCGCTCTATAGTTTAACCATAAACTTTATCTTAAAAAAACATGCAAGTCATGTAAAAGTAGTGCAGTGGGTTACATGACTTATTAACAAGTGTCCTTATCCGTCATGGTCATCAGTGTCAAAGACGGGCTCTGAATACGATACGGCGCCTGTGACCTCACTTCAGGGTGTAATTTAACGCCTCATCAGGTGTCAGCTCCTTTGAACACATCCTGTCCCGCCCCTGTACTAAAGGTGACCCAATCAGAGGTCGGATTAGATGACCACAACACAGGAAGACCCCTCTTATGGTACATACTGTAAGTAGCACAGCCGTTGAGGTATGAGAGCTATTAACTGAAACACTTCACAGGCTCGCCTCGGAGCACGCAAGACCATTTCCCTTCTCGCTCCCGGCTATTCTAAAAAATTCAGTGTGAGGTTTGATTGCAGTGGCCGGCGTTCAGATGGGCCCCCGAGTGCTGGAAACCATTTGTCAATCAAACCAGCACAAATTTTTTTAAAGCCACGGCTGGCGGGTAAAAGTACTAACAGAGCAAGAGCAAGCCATTTTTCTGAGGAGTAATCGTAACGTCAAAACAGCCTTAATAAACCTGGGCCATAAAGGGAACGAGTGGTAACAATTACATCACTGAATAGAGAAGCTGTGAAAAGTGCCTCGTTTATCTGCAGCCCGGGCCTGGCAACGTTGGGGAGGTCCAGCAGGAAACTGGCTGTGAGCGGGAGAATAGCTCAGTGTGAGACGACTGAGCAGGAGAAAAATGATCCTTGGAAGTGCATTGAGCGAGAAGATTGAGTTCACGCAGCGGGGCGAGTAACGAGGCTGCAAAAAGAAAACACACACGCAGCACAGCAAGTTCTTGAGCGGGTACAGATTCTGTCATCTTAGTTCAGCGTGTTAGGAGGCAAATAATTGCTCACGTGAAAACGATTAGTGGATTATTATTTAGATTATCGATAAATGTATCAACTCTGTCCTTGTTTCTTTAAAAGTACATTTATCATAAACTGTCTGAATCAAGGTGCTGCATCCTTTAGAGAATGCGAATACGTTCTTCTATCCCCGAGAAACGAAGGCTCCAATGGGTGGATCCTTCCCATTACAGCCTATGTAAAAAAAAAAGGGTGAAACGTCGTGATTGACTGCTGAGACTGACACCTGATTGGCCGAGAGCTTGTATCAGCAGGAGCTTAATACCATGGCTCCATCCGTCAATCGCTTTTTTGGCTTCATTTATAGATAATGGGAGTCTTGGGAGAATTTACATTGTCTATGGTTTTTATAAGATGATAACAAATGTATAACTTAAACTAAAAGTTTAAGGCTGAAGGAAGCTTTAACATATTTATCCTAAAGCAGGATTTCTTGTTTCGCAGTCAAATATTTTTTTGTCAGCAAGTCCGCAAAGACCCCTGAAAAAAAAAGTTTCAAAGTCAACATCTGCTGTAGTTCCAGCTTTCTTTTGTTTCCCCTCAATCACAGTCTGGAGTTAAATTCTGCACAGACAAAGAGCAGATGGTTAAAAGCTCTTGGCTCCAAACTGGCACCGTGGACACAATGACCAACATTATGGTTCAGAAAGAAGCTATAAAAGACACTGTTGACTCATATAATGACACAATAACTTGAGGATGAAGAGGTTCAGCGAAGCTCTCATCTGTTCTTGTTACCGCCCTGACACACACACACACCCTCCTGAAGAAGTGCCCTCGCTCAGGTTAAATTAGACAGATGCTGCTTTTGTTACCGAGCTTCATTAGTCCTGACAGCAGGCTGGCTTTATTTAGAAGTGTTACTGTACGACGGTGACATGCCTCGTAGCTCAAGGGCAGCGCGGTGAGCTTCGGTGCATTTCTTCAGCACGTGAGCGAAGAGTTTGGCAGCGTGGACACTGATTGAGAGACAAACCATCGACGTCGCTGATCGGATTGGAAGCACGGCCGTCGGTGAAAAGCGAAGCATCGTGGAGGCGATAAAATTTGAAATGGAATCAAGAAGAATGAGTGACACGGCTCTTAATCAAAGAGGAAAAGAGCAGCAGTCATGCCTGTCTGATTAATGTTTGCCCTTTTAGTTCATTGACAAAATCGATCTGATGCTGCAGCGTGTGTGTTTGTGTCTTTGACCCCCCCCCCCGCACCCTGTGCCACAAGATCACTGTTTTGCTCTTGTTGCATCACTTGTATTCGAATTTTTGAAAACCCTGGGGGTTGTTGTCCTGAAGAATCAAAGCAAAGGGGGTTCCGTAAACAGGTTACTGATTCGGTCATCACATGCACACACACACACACACACACACACAAACATCGCCATGCCATACTTTTGCCTTCTTCGAAAACACACAAAAAACACAGCTTGTGGATTGACTCCGACTATAATGGCAGGTTGTAGCTGGAGGAACAGCTCATCAGAAATGTAATTCCTCGCCACCAGAGCCATTTTTACCCTGCAGCCTTACAAGAGAATGAAATTGAACGCCGACAAACACCTCAGCAAAATATAATTACCAAGGGGACAGGGTACGACTTGTAGGCTTGAACAATAAAATGCTCGACTGCACGGTGTCGTCTTTAACAATGAGCTTGCGCAGCCAAACACTTGAACCCTTAAAAATGAATGTGAGAAGATAAACCCTCAAAAAAATGAGGGTGGACTGATCAATCTGAGCACAACTGCAACATCTCCTCAGGGTTTGAGACTCAGGAGTCATTTTTCTCAAAGGTAAAGTCAAGCCAGAGGCTAAAAACCTATGGCCCTGAATCAATTGGTTCCATGAACTGAAAAAAGTGGTTAATAAATATTTGATAAACCTGTTACGTGGCCAAACTACAATGTTTTCATTTAAGCGCAGATGGCTGCGTAAAAAATCAATAAATCTCAGGTCAATTCTTGTGCCGAAGCGCACAGTTTGATGAACGGCGCCGCAGAGCTCGCTGCTTCTTTGTTGTATTGCGGGGGTGTGTGTACAGAAAGTGTTGACGGCCCCGGGGACCGCATGGGATCTGTGGATTTAATAGGGTATAAGTACGAAAGCCCCGTACTTGAAATGAGAATCGTTAAAACAGATTTATGACGGGGGAACGTCTAAGTTTAATCTTTGTGATATTGGCTGAGATCGTTTCTGATTTCAGGTTTTGATAGAAGTCTTCAGCCGCTGGATTCTAGCTGTGAGAAGCCCAATGTTATTCTGTGTGCTACTATGTGTTTCTGTGTGTCTGAGATGAGGTCTTGACTCTGAACCTTCGGCAGCACAGGGCCGAGGAGGCGGGGCTCGCAAAAGTAGGCCACGACTCTAGCGGAGCACAGCTTATCTTACCTTACAGTCGCCGGGCGGGGGCACCCAGCCTGTGAGCGTGCACAGCTGATCTAAAGAGCTTCAGCCACAATTAGCTCCGTGTTACATTTCGTGTACTTGACTGGAGTGTCAGTGAACTTGATGCTCGGACTAGAAAGGTATTTTTCCAAACAGGTAACATGAAAACCCCTTTACACGATAAAAACAGCATTTGGTGTTGAAAACTGCTTGTGACACCAAAACCCTGAAAGACACTAACACACTTATTATTCTCTCTCACTCTGTGCTGCTACTGTATTTCACCACTAGTGTGAACAAATTGATCCCAACACTAAAGATGCAACCCCTCAGTTTGGGAGGATGGATTTACACATAGAGGTACAGCGATCATTGGCGGTTCAAGGATTT